GCTTATCGGTTAAGATGGAGTCTCCCTAAGTATTTCCCTGGCTGGCCTCAATCTGAGATCCTCCTTATTTCTCCTTCCCAAGTAGCTGAGAATATACGCACAAGACATTGCATGTGGCCTGCAGTATGGATTCTTAATGTATGGCTGTTGAGGGGGGTCATGAAGCCCCCAAATGGTGAAAGGCACATGCTCAAATACTGCCTTATGGTGTCTAAGAAAGCCCGGTGTTCTTGACATCAACCTGGCAGGCATTAAAAAATTGGTTTGAAATCTTACAGGTCAGTATTTCTCAAACTTAGATGACCATCAGAATCATATAGGAGATATTTAGCTGAGCTAGATTAGCCCTGACAGTACCAGGGATCAAACTCAGGACCTTGTTTTGCTCTGTCTCTTGAGTCACACCCCAGTCCTTTTGCTTTCAGTTTTTTGCTTTTTTTTTTTTTTTTTTTTTAGAAAAAGTTTCATACTTTTACCTGAACTGGCTTCAAACCTCAACCCTCCTGCCTCTGCCTCCCAAGTAGCTAGGACCACAGGCTTGTGCCACCACCCAGCTTGTTTTTGAAATAGTCTCAGTAACTGTTTGCTGGGGTTGGCCTTGAACCTTGATCCTCCCATCTCTGCCTCCCACTTAGCTGGGATTACAGACATGAACAGCATGCCTAGCTCCACATAGAGAACTTTTATTTTTATTTATTTATTTATTTTTGTGGTACTGGGGTTTGAACTCAGGGCCTACACTTTGAGCCACTGCACCAGCCCTTTTTTGTGAAGGGTGTTTTTGAGGTAGGGTCTCACCAACTATTTGCCTGGGTTGGCTTTGAACTGTGATCCTCCTGATCTCTGCCTCCTGAATAACTAGGATTACAGGCATAAGCTACCAAGACCCGGCTTTATGTATAGAGCTTTTAAAGAAACAAATTCCCAGGCTTCATCTTTAATCTTTCTAAACTAGCATGTCCTGGGAGGAGCCCAGAAATGTGCAGTGTTGTTTTTTAAGGTCTGGTCTTACTGAATCCATACTGGCTCTTAATGCACCCCACTGCCCTTTCCAAATGCTCACAGACAATTGCTTCCAGAAGTCCCTGTCTCTGCGGCTATCTTCTGCAAGGTCTTCTTTGTTCAGACAGGGACACAGCCCTGCTGACTATATTGTCTGGCCCCAACCAGGTATCAGGTATTTAACCAACAGCCCAACAAGCTATAGGGTGGAGGGTGAGCTGCCAGGGTCCTCTCCTGCCCTGCCTGTCCATTCCGTCTTCCCACCATGCCTGTCCTGCCCCTTGCTTCTGCAGGATCCAGGAGACAGGGCAGGATGGGAGGTGATCAGGCAGTGTCCTTGGAGAGTCCACCTCAAGGTCAGGGACTAGGGACAGTTGAGGAAGATATTTACCTCCATTACAATATTAAGATGACACCACAAAGCTCAGGAATCAAGAAAAAAGAGCATTATAAAGAGATAGTTTTAAAATAAAAAATTAGTGCTAAAAATCAATATTTTGATAAGCAAAATCTCAAAATTTTAAATAAAGATAGCATCAGTCACAGTGCCAAGCCATTTCAGAGACTGAGACAAAAGAAAAAATCAATAACATAAATGACAGAGAGCAGGGAAAAAATCTCAAAATTTGTTAAATGTCCTCAGAGGGAGGAGATATTTCATCTGTGACACAAGAATAGGAGGCTTTTTAAAAAAAGAAAAGAAATAATCCCAAAATAATAAAGAGCTCTTAGAAATTAAAAATATAATATTCGAAGCCTGGAGGAGTGGCTCAAGTGGTAGAGAGCCTGTCTAGCAAGTGTGAGGCCCTGAGTTCAAGCCCCAGTACTGCCAACATATATGTATAATAGTTGAAAAAATCTGTTACACTATGAAAATAAGGTGGAAAAAATCTCCCAGAAAGTGGGACAACACAATAACAAGAATATTAACAAGTAAACAGTAAAAAATGCAAAGGAAATGGAAAACAGAAGAGAGTTGAAAATTCAAGGATCAATTCCAGAAATAGATGTCTAACCAAGAGAAATTATAGAAAAGAGAGAATATGGGAGGCAAAAAACTATCAAAGAAGTAAAGCAGAAAAATTGTCTGGACCTGATGAATAATATGTCTCCATATTGAAACCATTCCACCAGTTCCAGTGTGGGGAAAGAAAAAAGTCAAAGTAGGGCGTTCACTGTGATTTCAGAAAGCTGGGATCACAGGGAATACCCTGAAAGCTTCCAGGAGTATATACAAAAGTCGGGAATAAGAATGACACCAAGGAAGGTAAGTTCGAGAAGAATTAATTTAGAAGGTAACACACATGCACAGGAAAGCAATGCGAGTCAACTCCCTGTATAGCTATCCTTATCTCAACTAGCAAAATACCTTGGTCCTTCCTATTATTGCTTATACTCTCTCTTCTTAAAGATAAGGGCAAAATAGTTTCTGCTGGGTAGCGAGGGGGTAGGGGGAGAGAGGGAGGGGGCAGAGGGGTAAGGGAGGGGGTGGGGGGAAGGGGGGAGAAATGACCCAAACATTGTATGCATAAATGAATGAAAGAAAAAATAAAATAATAATAATAATAAAAAAGAATGACACCAAGGCCAGGCACAGTGGCTCACATCTGTCATCACAGCTACCTGGGAGGCAGAGATCTGGAGAATCGAGGTCCAGGCCAGCCTGGACAAAAAATTGACACCCTATCGAAAATCAAACTAAAGTAAAAAGGGCTAGGAGCATGGCTCAAGTGTAGAGCACCTGCCTAGCCAGCCTGAGGCTCTGAGTTCAAACCCCAGTACCACCAAAAAAAAAAAAAAAAAAGGTGACATCAAAAGTCTTAACAGTGACATAGGAAGCCAGAAGCTTCCTTCAAGCTTTGGAAGGAAAATTATTTTTAATCTAGAAGTCTCCATTCGGCAAAATCACCAATCAAGTGGGAAGCCAGAATAAAGGCATTTTCAGACCTGCAAGTTCTCAAGAGAATTTTTCCTGCTGCTCAACCTCTGTTAGGAAGCTAAACGGCCAAGGTGGTGAAAGAGAAGAGAGAAGACCCAGAGTCAAAAGAACAGGAGGCCAAACACACGAGAGAGATGAAGGAGAAAGGTGCAGGGTCGGGGTGCAGCTGTGGGGCAGGTGAGCAAGGTTTCCAGGGGAAAGAAAGAAAGTGTGGACAGGTTTGACAGCCAAAGATGATGTACTTTCAGTAAGTACAGAAAGCTAAGCAGAGGACTGACAGGGTATAGCAAGGGTCTAGGAACAAAAATTACGCAGGGAAAAAAAAGGAGGATATTACCCCGCTTGAATTATAAGCAAACTGTACTCCCATGGTTTAATAATGATATAAGATGGAGCATTTGATTAAGCAAAAAGATTAAAAGATGGGGTAAATAATTCTGGAGGAGCCAGGTGCCCCGGGCTCACGCCTGCAATCCTAGCTACTCAGGAGACAGAGATCAGGAGGACTGTGGTTTGAAGCCAGCCCGGACAAATTGTTTGTGAGACCCCCATCTCCAAAATAACCAGAGCAAATTGGACTGGAGGTATGCATCAAGCAGTAGAGTACCTGTTTTGCAAGTGCAAAACCCTGAGTTCAAACCCTAGGCCCTCCAAAAAATAGAGGAGCAGTGCTGTCACACAGGGTACACGTCCATATTACACAAAACCCTCTGACACACGTGCAAACATGCCATCAGTGACACGCAGATTCATGCACAGACACGGAGGCCCCCTTCGGCCCTCCGGAGTGTCAGCACAGAGACCGTTCCTGCCTGTGCCACAAACTGGAACCCTCCGAGGGGAGGAGGTTCTGCCTGTAGCTGCACCCGCATTGCTTCCTCTACTCACCTGTTATGAGGCACCCTGTACTGAGTCTGAGCAGCCTGTGCCTCTGTAGCCATCAGCTTTTGGAGCCCCATGGTCTATAGATGGGGCAAAAATAGGGTGGGGAAGGGCCTGAACTGGCAGCAGGGATGTAACTAATAATGCCACCTTTGGCTGTTCTTCCCTGTTTCTGTCAAGAAAGAGCCAAATGTCAGGAGCTCTGTGACCATGCTGTGCATCCTGGGGGAAGTTACTTCACCTCTCTGGGCCCTGACAGAGTAGGCAGCCCTTGAAGCTCTGAGATGCTACAATTTTAGACCCAGTCTGGGTTCTGCTTCCATCCCCTCCCCTCCCCTGAGATCACTCTTTCCATGACAGAGGGCATGATCACTGGCCTAATGGACTCCACTTTGTCCCTTTCTGGGTCTTTAACTTTTTTGAGTCTTTAACTTTCTCCTCCTGAGTCTCTCCTGCAGTCTCCTTGAATTCCTAGAACTGCAGGACGGACTGCTAAACATCTTTATGACAAGAGGCTGAAATTATCCTCCAAGCAACAGCAAGCCTCACAGGACAGACCACCTATCAAATGAAAGCAGTCACCTATGATGATGAGGCTGTACCCGGGAGTGGGAGGAAGTGTCTCATGGGGACCAGATTGACTGTCAACCCCCCCACCAAGTGACCATAGTGACAACAACTTCTCTAGAACCTCTTAGAACCAGAACCAAGATAATGATTACCTGCTGTCAGCTTGCATACTTCAAACCCTTCCTTTGTCCCTCTGCTAGAAAGCTCAAAGTAAGGCAGTCGATAGATAATGTCTAAAGCTGACTCATCTACAGTAACAGTATGGTAAATCTTTGGAAAAATGGAACTGGATGCTAGGAGGAGAGCCAGAGGTGCCCTGCTGAAGATCAGCCCCTTGAAGATGGACTTACAGTCATGGAACCCCTTTATCGGTTCTCCACACAACCATGTTGAATAAATCTTTGCCTTTCACCACTGCTTCTTTAATTGGTGTACTGTGACAGTGGCACAGCCTGATCCATTGGACCCCAGTTTAGGGCTTTTCTGGTAATATCCACTCCAATCTCCAGGGTCAATCCCAAAGGATGCACGATGGCCATTCTGACAAGAGTACACAGGGCACCTGGAGAGATGCGCGTGCGCACACACACGTTCATCCAGCACTCACCACCACCCTGGTCCTATTGTCTGGCAGTGTATCAATGGCCAAGGAGCCCCCACCCAGGTCCAGGCTCAGCTGGGTCCTGTCTGGCTCTGATACTTGTCCAGGGCTGTCTTGGGTTGTCCGATTCCAGCCCTGTGTGGTCCCCTTGGCAGCCCGTCCAGAGCCTTGGCCTTCATCGTGACCTGGGAGAGGAGACAGAAAACAGTGCCAGCAGTGCAGAGTGAAGATCCGAGAGGCAGACCAGAACCAGCCCATTCATTCTGCAGAGGCCTCAACACCACGCCATCATTGACTTTGGGGACACCTGACTACCAAGACAACCAAGACAGCATGTGCCCGATTCCACAGCAAGCAACTTGCACACAGGGTGCTTTAACCCTCTTACGAACCCTCAACAATGCATGCGCTCTGTTCTGTAGACAGGAATCGGACTCAGAGGTTAAAGGTCACACGGTGGGTTAGACATGGAGCTAAGCTTCACACCCAGGTTGATCTGCCTGGAAGCGGATGGATATTTTTAACCTCAGCTTACCATGGAGTCACCCAGGAAACTTTGTGGATTCCTGATGTCCAGGCCCCACCCCAGAGGTCCAATGTGATTGGTCTATGGTGTGGCCTGCCATGAGTTTCCTAAAAGATCCCAGGGGAGCTGGACAGGGAGGTGCACACTTGGAGTCCCCAGCACTGAGGAGGCTGAGGCAGGAGGATCTCACGTTAAAGAAAAACCTGAGCTACATGGCAAATCTTTCTCAAAAAAAAAAAAAAAAAATCCCTGGGGAATCTCAGCAGCCCTGATCTTGAACTCTGCAGCAATGTTGAAAACCACTGCTCTGGAAACCGGTTCCTTATTTCTCTACAAGAAATGCACGTGACCCTGGGGCCCAGGGGATACTGAAGACAGGGTAGAGACTTTTCAGTTCAGGGCTTCACAACCTTGGAAATATTGATGTTTTGGATTGGATAATTTTTTTTTCCTTCAATTTAAAAAAAACTGTGACAAATACACAGAAGACTTACCATCTTAATTATTGTTTTTTGTTTTGTTTGTCTTTGAGATGGTCTTGCATAGGCCAGGCTGGCCTCAGACTCAAGACCGTCCTGCCTCAGCCTCCAGAGTGCTGGGATTCCAGGTGTGCAACACCACACCCAGCCCCCATCTTAATTATCTTTAAATGTACAGTTCAGTGTTATTAAATACATTCAAAGTGCTATACAACCATCACTACCACCCATCTCCATCTCTTTCCTCCTGTAAAACTGAAACTCTGTACTCTTTAAACAATGGCTCCCTATTCCCCCAGCCTCAGCCCTTGGAAACCACCTTTCTACTTTCTTCGTTTTGTTTTTCTTTCCTTCTTTTTCTGCAGTCTGGGGGTTGAACTCAAAGCCTCACACATGTTAAGCAAGTGTCCTGTCACTGAGCTACATCCCCAAGTCCATCCTTCCACTATGAGTTTGACTAAGTATCTCACAAAAGTGGAATCGCACAGCATTTCTCTTTCATGATAGGCCTAGTTCACTTAATATAATGTCTTCAAAGTTCATATTGTAGAACTTACCTGGATTTTTTCTTTTTGAAGGCTGAGTAATATTCCATTGTGTATATATACCACATTTTCTTTTTCTTTTTCTTTTTTTGGCAGCACTGGGGTTAAACTCAGAGCCTCACATTTGCTAGGCAGGTGCTGCACAGTCCTTTTTTTGTGATGGGTTTTTTTGAGATAGGATCTTGCAAATTATTTGCCCAGGGCTGGCTTTGAATTGCAATCCTCCTGATCTCTGCCTCCTGAGTAGCTAAGATTACAGGCGTGAGCCACAGAAGTGGGGCAGAGATGGTTTTCTTATCCATCTGTCAATGACACTGGGTTGCTTGCACATTTTAGCTATTGTGACTAATGCTATATATATATATATATATATATATATCTCCAGAAGTAAAATAGCTGGATCATAAAGTCATTCTATTTTGTAAATTTTAAGGAATCACTACCCTGTTTTCCACATAAAATGGCTGAGTCACTTTATACTCCCAACAGTGTCCAAGGTTCCCTATCTCTCCACATCTGCACCAAGACCTCTTATTTCCTAAGGTGTGTGAGGTGGTTCTTTAGTTCTTCTCTGTAGCTTTGATTTGCATTTTAGTCGTATCACTACCTTCAAGCCTTGACCTTGGACAACTCACTTTCCCATGAAACAGAAGCTTAGGGACCAGCTGGGACAGCAAACTTGCATCTCAAATGCCATGTCCAATTGAGCAGTGACAGCCAGGAGTACTCCTGTTGAGAAGAACTTAGAGATTTCACTGTGTTTAGCAGGAAAAACTGTCATGATCAATTAGCAATGTCTGCCACAAGCACGATTGGAGAGTGGCTCACGCAGGAAGCTGTTCTGAGACTCTACGTTTTCTCCACTTCCCTCAAGTTATTAAATAATTTTTTTTCTTTTTGGCAGTACTGGAATTTGGACTCCGGCCTGGCACTTAACTAGGCAAGCCTTGAGCCACACCCCCAGCCTTTTTTATCTTTAGCTATTTTTTGGCTAGGGTCTCATCCTCCTACAACTGCCTCTCTTATAACTGGCATCACAGAAATACACCATCACGCCCACTTGTTGGTTGAGGTGGGGTCTCACTATTTTCCTGGGCTGGACTTGAACTCTGATCCTTCCAATCTCTGCCTCCCAAGTAATTGGAATTACAGGCATGAGCCACAGTGCCAGCCCCTAAACCAATTCTAAATGACACACACACACACACACACAACACACACACACACACACCCCTTTCCATTTCAGAGAGATTTGGCCCCCAAAGTTGTGCCTCCTGATTGCCATTCCAATTGTTACATCTATTCTGGAGGTACAAAGGAAACAACCACCAGAGAGGAATCTGTTCTTCCCTACCTGTGACCTTCATTGATTTTAGTCTCATCCTAGGTCAAATGCCCTTCCTCACCTCTGACTGTGCCTACCCTGCTCTCCGGAGCTCCTGGATGTGGCTCCAGCTCTCCCAGACCACCCACTGGTGTGACCTTGTGCCCATCTCCCTTTGAGACTTGGGTTGCCCCAGGTCTGGCTCTGCCCTCTTCAAAGACTGCCTAGCAAACAGTAAGCGCTCAGTCACTGCCTAATTGAGGATACCATGATGGGGGTAATTCTTGAGAGGCAGTAAGGACAGAAGTTAAGACAAGGCTTGGCCAGGACCAGGCCTGGGGTTTTGCCAGGACAGTGCTGTGGGGCTCTGATTTGTCATTAGACATTTTATCCAATTAAGTCATTCTTGGCTGCTGGTGCCTGCTGGACCTTTGCCAGGGCTCCTCTCACTTCTCTGCCCCTAATCACAACCAGATGCTCCTGGAGAAGGTGGGAAGAGGGGCAGTCCCCAAGCACTTCCCCAGGATGCCCACTGGCTGGCTGTCCACAGATGGCCCATAGCCCAGGGCTAGGAGGCAGCCTGCCTCCTGCCCAGACCCACACCAGGACTGTCTTGTCCCCCTCAGGGGCAGCTTGAAGCTGCCTGAGAGACAAACCATTTATTCTGGGCTAGACCTGGGTCCTCCTGAAAGCAGCCCCGGGGTGTGGGCAAGACCAGAACTGGAAAGGAGCTATGCAGAACAAGTGGACGGACTGAGCCACTCAACAGCGCTGATGAGGACCTGTGGGCAGCACCAGCCTAGAAGTGACAGCAGAGGGAGGAACAGGATGGTGGAGAGCCGAGACCTGGGACAGAGAGACAACAACCCTGGGTGGGTTTACCTCTCCACCCAGGCCTGCCACCATAAGCTGGGGCCCATGGACTGTCAGTTTACCTCTGGATGCTTCAGTCTCCCACTCAGTGAGATGAGGGTGACAACCATATGTGTGGCACAGGCTGCAATGGGCTTCAGGGGAAACATCAACCAAGTTTTGCACATAGAGGGCTCAGGTCAGAGTTGAGGACATGGAGTCCATGCAGGACCATGAGGGTCAACGGGGACTGTGAGGAGCCAGGCCTCCCCTAGCCTGGCCTCCCGGCCACCTTTCCTCCTGCCATTTGGCTGGGACAGGACATCGCCCCTCAGCTCATGGCAGGAGCCAACATGGTTGGCTGCTCACAAGTGTGAGCAGGGCCATGTGTCTAATGTCAGGAAGCTTCCAGAACACAAGTTATTCATTCATTTATTCAGTCACACATGGTCACAGGAGTGCAGTCTTAAGAGCAGCAGGAGTGTGCAGCAACAGTGGTTACAATCTGGCTAACTCTTAGCGGCTGATACTCTGTACCAGCACCATTCTGAGGGCTTTAAACACATGAACTCATTTCACCCCTGCTAGTGAACGTGCTAGTTTTAGATTCATTTTACAAACAAGGAAACCAAGGCAGAAAGGTGGTAAGGAACCTCCCAAGATCATGCAACTAGTCTTGTGGCAGGATTCGAACTCAGGTGACCTGGCTCCAGAGTTGGCTTAGAATTATCAACAGTGCAAGAGGGCTCAGTTGTACAGCATTTACCTGTCAAGGGGGAGGCGCTCAGTCCCAATCCCAGCACCACAAAAAGACAAAAAAAAAAAAGCCGTAAGAAAGTGACTCAGCAACTCCTGGGCTGTTTCTCAAGATGCAGGTGCAGCCCCAGGGCAGGACTGACTTTGGGCTGGGTTCCAGGAAGGTCCTGTCATGGGTGCCATTGGGCCTGAACATGAGAACTGGAGACCGAGTGCCCTGGCACACAGTGGGTGATCAGGGTCAAGGTGCACCAGACCCCGACCTGGCTCTGCCCTGCTACAGGGCTAGGGGTAAATTCGGCTGACTTTGGAGCCAGGTTATGCTACCCAGAGCCTGGGCCAAGCCACCCTCATCCCAGCCATCATCCAAGCTTGCTCTTCCAGCCCCATGGCCACCACACAAGACTTCTGATCTGGTAATTTACTCATAATTCACCCTTCATGTCCTAGAGCTAGTCTCTCACACTCTAGCTAGAACAAGAGGTCTAGAAGACCAGCTTGATTCCCTCATGCTTCCTGCTCATCACATCCTCCAGCTGATCTGAGGCCTCTAGTGACCAGATTCCTGCTTGCTCTCCCACCTCCCACCTCCCTCCTGCCCCTCCAGGATCCAGCCCTGTTCTCTCCAAGCATGGGCTTGGTAGCCAAGTTCACTGTGCTCCTGAATAATTCTTCCTCCAGATGAGCTCTCGCTTGTCCTTCAAGTCTCACAAGATGTCACTGAGTCTCCTGACACCTTTTCCCCTTGCCCAGATGCCAGACGTGCCATCCCAGCTGGGATGTATCAACATCTTCACACTCAGCCCCTGGGTGTGTCTAGCCTCTGGGTGCCTGGCAGAGCAGGGGTGGGGTGGGGTGGGGGGCATGGTGGATGAGAGAGGTAGGTAGGCAGGGATGGGGAAGACCAGATCTCCAAATGCCCTGAGGGGCAGGAGACACAGGATCCCTAACCCTCTCCCCGTGGGGCACAGGCCCTCGGAAGGCCTGCGCCATGTCTCAGCAGTGAGAGAGCACAGGTTTGAGCTCAGACAAGCTCAAAGTCAAATCCCAAATCTACCACATACCAACTTGACACTGCACAAGTGATCAAGTCTCCCTAAGCCTCAGTCTTACATCTGTGAGATGGGGACTAGAGAACCTCCCCTTGGTAGGTTGTTTTGCCATATTTATTTGAAGCTCTCCTGTCCTGCCCACTTTCTGAGGAGCCTGGCAAAGAGTGCTGAATCGAAGCTGAAGTCCTGCCTCCCTGTTACCAAGCCCTCACACCTTCTCCCCTCCCACCAGCAGGCAGGGACCTGTTGAGGACTCACCTGGAGAGAAAAAGGGAGGCACAGGAAGGGGGAAGGTACCAGGTAGCAGAAGGAAAGGGGAGGGAGGTGGCAGGAGGGGAGCTGCTGATGCCACTGTAAGAGGTTTGAATTTTCGTCTGGGTTTGTTGGGAAGTCCCTGCTGTGCAAGAAGGAGGCTGGAATCAGTTGTGGCTGGAAGAGCTTCTAGAGTTAGTCTGGTTCAGCCCCCCTGCCACACACACACACTTTAGAGAAGGGGGAAACCAAGGTTTAGAAAGAGGAAGAAGTCATGATGGTACCTGGATCATTGCTGTACTTGGCCTTGTGCAGTATATTCAGGCCCAGAGGCCACCTCCAGTTGTCTGGAACTTCCTTCCGTATGTCTGTTGTGGGTGCCTCTGTTTCCTCTGGGACCAGACCCCCAAGGCCATCTTCCTGTCTGTCCGTGTGCCTTCCTGTCCCTTAGCCTCTGTCACCTGACTCTCCCTTCAGATCACTGATCCTTCTTTTTCCCATTCTAAGGATGAATGAAGGCTCAAGATTCAAACAAGTCCACTGGTCCTGAAGGAGGGGCCTGGCTGCTCCCCAGCCCCCACAAGCCTAAGGAGCCAGAGCTGGGGGCTGGGCGCACTCCCTCAGCCTCAGGTCTCACTTGGCTGCAACTTTGTTGGTCACAGGGACTCTATCATCGAGACAGCTAGCTTTGCTTAGAGACTCTCTCCCAGCCTGTCCCACTCCTACACTGTCCTCTCCAGAAGACATCCACTGCCTCCACATAGACTCTTCTTCAGATCCAGCCTAGCCTGGGAAAATAGCACTGGACTAGGAGTCTACAACTACCTCTGGCTTCCTACAACTTCCTCAGGTCTAACCTCAATCTTGCCTGCTGCAAAGAAAGTCCTTGTCTCCTGGCTGATCTCACTCAGTGCTGAGAAGACAGGGTGTCCTCTGGTTAGAGAGATGAGTTACCCTGACTGTTTCCTCCTGGCCTCCTCCTGTCTACAACCCCTCCCAGACTCTGATGAGGCAGCGCTCAGTCAGGCCTAGGTCTGGACCCCTCCTGTAGCCTAAGTCCCCTTCCCCACCCCTTTCCAGAGGTTCAGCCCCCTAGTCAACCCAGTCACTCCTGAGTTCAGAAGATCAAACCAAACCGGGGCTGCAAAGGACCTCAGAAATTAACCTGTCCAATCCCTTTCTGTTTACAATGATTAACAAAAAAAAAAAAAAAGAAGAAAAAATTATCAGTTACCCAACTGGGTGCTGGTGGCTCATGCCTGTAATCCTAGCTACTTGGGAGGCTGAGATGGGGAGGATCATAGTTTGAAGCCAGCCTTCGTAAATAGGTCGAAAGACCCCCATCTCCAAAATAACCAGACTAAAATGGACTGGTGGTCCAATTCATGCAGTAGAGTGCCTGCTTTGCACGTGTGACAAATGCAAAGCCCTGAGTGAGTCCCACCAAAAAAAAAAAAGAGAACAAAGCTTCATAATCCCACGACCAATTAAGAGTCAAAGATTTTTGCCGACAGCCTCTCTTAGTAAGTGCAAAAGTAGGCCCAGAGAGGGAAAGTAACTTGCCCAAGTGAGATGGTAGGACAAGAAGCCAAATCTTTGGTCAGGCTCTGTGTGGGCTCTCGGAACACTAGCGATTCTGAACCCAAGGCCTCTGGACACATGGATTCTCTTGTCCTCTACCCGGATCTGCATCTGCACTTCTTCCCGCACATACTTTCTTAGCAAGGACCCAGGCTTTCCTTGCAACATGCTGGGACCATGAAAGCCAAGAAGACTGTTACCAACCTTGATGCTGAGACAGCAGCCAAACTACAGCATCCCCTGAACCCCTGCCCTCACCCCTCCAAGGGGCACCTAGGCCAGTGAGACATAGATGTCTGTCTTCCCAATTCTTTCTTTCAACCCCAGAGAAAGTTTGGGTGCAGAAGGAGAAAGGAGGAGAGCATAAATTATATGTTGAAAAATGGCTCTCTTTGATAACATGAGGGATTCAAGGTGGATCTTAGAAAGGATGTCCAGGTGGGAGAGATGATTTAGGAGAACTGATTTAGGGCAAGAGGACTGTGCAGGGTCCTCCCCACAACCCCCAGCCAAGGTAGTTGAAGTCCAAAGGCCACCAGAGCAGAATCGAGCAAGAGTAACAAGCGAACCCTTGATGCTGGCGGATGGGAAACAGCAAGTTGCTTCTGGATCCCCTGCCTCTCTGCTGGCACCACATGGATAGGGAAACAAGTTACAGACTATGCCCTTACTGGGAGACAGAGGCCACGCTCAGTCTGGGTCAGTGACAGGAGTGGGCAGAGAAGAGGAAAGGAAGGCAGAGCAGGAGAGGGTGGACAGGAGCTCCCCGAAATCCCCTTTCATCATCAGAATTTAGCCTTGCCTGGAGCGACCAGAGGTCCCCACGACTCTCCCACAGCCCCCTTTGAGGCCAGAGCCCACAGCCTGACAGAGACCCCTCTACCTGGGTCCTTCCAGGAGGAAGGAGGCGTGGGAGCGTCGCTGTCCAATGCTTTGAGAAAGTGGGGTCCCAGTCCACCTGCCTTCAGCCCTTTGCCCTGGCCTCCCGCTCGGGGACTCAGCAGCCTGTCCGCCCCTGCCCGCGCCCACCCCGTCCGCCCACTCCGGCGGGTCCTACCTGCTCTGGGCTGGGGGCTCAGCGCGCGGGCCGCCCCCCTGAGCACCAGCACCAGGAGCCACAGCTCGCCCCTCATGGTGGGCGCCGGACCCTCTCCCGGGCCGCTTGCTGCGGGCCGATCGCGCGGGAGGGGGCCGGGATCGGGATGCACGGTCCAGGCGGTCGCAGAGCGCGGGGACCGGAGAGCGGGAGCCGGCCACCAGCAAGCAGAGCCGCGGCGCTGCGGCCTGGGGAGCGGGCGCGGGCGCGGGCGCGAGGGGAGAGGAGCGAGGCGGGGCGGGGCGCGGCGCTCGGAGCCTCCCGCCTCCCCAGGGCTCCGCGCCGCGCCGAGGCGGGGACGAGGGGCCGGGCGGGGGACCCTCGGCCTGGGGACCTCTAGAGAGCGGTCGCCGCCCGCGCCAGGGAACGCGGGGACAAGGCCCGGGGGGGGGGGGAGGGACCAGGAAGCGCCCGTCACCGCCCCCTCTTCCAGGATAAGCGACTTTCTGAGCGGTCCCTCCGAGTTCGGTGCGGTTCTGCTGTTTTACGCACACACAACCACGCACGCACCTGGGATCTCCCCTCGCTACCGAGACCCCCAGCTCTGAGCCCCAAGGAAGCGGGATTCCTCTCCCCTCGCATGGATCCTTCCCTCATTGCTGCTCTTGCACCCCGTTTCCAAAACCCGCCCACCGCCCCCCACCCAGCAGACCTGGGGGTGCCGGGACCTGTTTCTCCCCCACTCTAAAGTAGTAAGGGTCCCCTTTCCCCAAGGCACCGTCTTCTTTGGGGACCTCTTAGGTCAGACCCAGTCAACCAACCCAGCCCCCGAGCACGGAAGCGACCCACCCCCCTGCCACCACCAGGCTCTGGGGATGCAGCATCTTTTTTTTTTTTTTTCTTCCAGGACAGAATAAAAATACCCGCAATTTGATTCGAGAGATTTAATAGACGACGGGGAATCAGGTCAGGACTCGAAGGTGCCTCTGACCTAGTTCGTGGCAAGGCAAGGAACTGGGGCCGGAGGGCGAGAGAGGGGCGAGCGGGTCCCCGCTCCACCCACCCCGGCTTCCACGCGGCTGTGGTCTGGAAACTGGAAGACTGCAGAGGAAGAGTGTGGACGCTGAGCTCCCTAGGGGGGAAGTCGCCAGAAGGAGGGGACAGAAGGGGTGCAGTGTGGGCTGGAGGAGGCGGGCACTGAGGTCAAAAGGAAGATCTGAGGAAGGAAACAAGAACTAAAGTTTTCCTAATCCCGATTTCTCCCTCTGAGGACCCGGGATCCCAGGAGGTCGTCCTCCTCTAGCCCTAAATCCTCTATCGCCTTACTAAGGGTCAAGCTAAGGCCTGTCAGTAAATTCTTCTTGATGTCTAACTTAAATCCCTACTTGACCGACTCACAGGATCAAATAGGCTCGGTTTCCAGCTGCGGCTTCCTACTGCCCTCTAGCGGACGGGTGATGAGCCGCAGCGCTGGTGTTTGACGAGCCCTACACACCCCGCCCCCCACCTCGCGCGCCCCATGCTTCTACGCCTGCGTAAATGCCATGAGCCCCCTCCAACACGGTCCCCTAAGGATCCACACCTGGCCACTACCTTCCAGCAGGTAGAGAGGTGAGAGGTCCCAAGATGGACTTCCAGCTCCGGTCGCGGTGTCTTTGTATATGCCCAGATTTGGGTGCCTGAGTTTCGTTTTATAAGGTCTCTTATTAGGGCTCAGACAGAAACAGCGACTTGGACGTAATAGAAGCAAAAAAAGTGTACTTTTAAAAACTCTGTAGAGTTTGAGCGTACATCAGAGTCACCTGGGGCGTTTATTAAAACACACATTTCCAGGCTCCACACTCAGGTTTCTAATTCATAGGGTCTGTACTGAGACCCAGGTGCTGCTGCTGGGACCAGACCACATTTTAACTCATCGCTGTGGAACTCCCCAGTTCCTTACGTCCCTTGCCGGTCCTCGACTGCCCGAGAGCGAGATGATGAAGGAAATACTTACAAAAACAAACAAACAAACAAACAAACAATGCTTTAAAGAAAGCTATGGCTGAAGATAGTGTTTTAAACAGAAAAACCAGCCAGGGGGCACCCGGATTTGAACCGGGGACCTCTTGATCTGCAGTCAAATGCTCTACCACTGAGCTATACCCCCTCTGCCGGGCGTCTTGAGCCAGTCGCCTCTTGGTACTAGTCATGCGCAGGCGCAGTGGCGCACTACCAAAAATGAGTGGGGAATAGGTCGAAGTTTTCAATAGACTAGATTTTCAGGTCACTCGCTTGGAAGCAGGAGTTTCCTGAAACTCTAAAGATTCCTATTGATGACGTAAGAAAAATGTAATCAGAGGAGGAGGAGGAAATCTTTTTAGGTCCCTCACTTTGGGGACACTCCTGTGAACCGAGGTTCCACTCTCTTGACCTGCAGGAATCCCACAGTGTCTCGGCGTCTCCCTCTCCCTTGCACACATCACGAGGCTTTCCCAGCCCAAACCTGGCCCCTAGAAACTCAGCCCCTTCTCTGAGGGCGAGCCGTCAGGTTCACCCACACCTGGGGTGCGCCCGGCCGCACTCTGTCATTACTCCAGCCTGTCTGGTGCGTCCTCCAGGGGTCAGCCAGGAGCCTCGGCTCACGCACGCTGCACTGCGCCCTTGGAGACACACACAGGTTAAGCGACTGCAGACCGGGAATCCATCCTCACCCACCTGCAAAAGAGTGAGTGTGCAGGAGGCTCACTCCCCTCCGATATGCCAGGCACGGTGGAAGCGGGAACTGGGGAAAACTAACAAAATAGTAAGAAAGCCCACGGCGAAGAGGGGGCACCCGGATTTGAACCGGGGACCTCTTGATCTGCAGTCAAATGCTCTACCACTGAGCTATACCCCCTACACATTGATAGGGTTTCATGCAAATGGAGTTCTGCAAAATGAAGGTGTGGCCCCATTTGATTTCTCCTGTGTTTTGGATCTAAGGGTTATTTCAAGAATCACCCAAAGACAAAAAACATAAAATACATAGTGAGAACAACTAAAATTCTAGACTTCTTCCTTCATAGTCTCGTCTCAGGAAAACTACATAATTAAGGGATTCTGGGCCCTCTATTTTCCTAGGCTCTCTGCCTGATGTCCACTGCCTGGTTTGGGCAGGGGAGAGACCTACTGTCCCCAGGACCATTCCAGGTCTTCCAGGAATATGGAAGGCAGCATGGGTCCCCATCCTGTCTCGTGCCCTATCTAGATAGGACTCTTGGGCTTTTGTGCACACCCCAGGGCAGGTGCCTCCTCCCCTTCTCCATAGGTCAGTATTCCTTAAGCCCAGGCACAGACAAGAGGTCCCAGACCTAGCTCTTAATGTACCAGTATCCTCCAGCCTGGAGAACCTTAGCTGTCCCCTAGCCAGATGGACTCTTAGGGCGGACTCCCACCCCCATTTCCAAGGTGGATTTTTCTGAGTGTTCTGCACAAAGACTAGAAGTCAGTTTGAGGAACTGGCAGAAGTAAGAAGTGAACGGTTTTTAATGGTATTTATTATACTACCTTTATTATTTTTTAAGCCTAATGCAAAGTAAAAAAAAAAAATGACACAATGATAAACTAAGCAGGCCCCGTAGGAATCTGGAACATTTAGGAGGAGTGTGATTCACACTGAAGGACCTTAGGATTGAAGGGGAGAGCAGCACACGGTGGTTTAAAGCCCAAAGACTGTGGTCAGCGGGAAGGCAAAGAGGGAGTGGAATCCTGCGATGCCAAGGACTCTCCCTGTCTGGGATGTCCTGTCCTCTCTCTCTTTCCTCCCAGCTTTGGGCCCACCTTCTTTCATCCCAGCAACCCCCTTTATCCTTTGCCCCTGAGGGTATAGGATAGAAATGACTGAGAGCCCACAAAGCTGGGGACGGTGGAGTTTTCTAGGAAAAGAAGAACAATTTCAGGGCCCTCTTAATCTGCCACTCCCTACCTGCTTCCCAAGGAGAGGGGCAGGGCCAAGAGGGAGCAGTCTCCACTTTCTGATCCCCCAACACACACAGCAGCTTCCCTGGTCTCTACAGAACACCTGCAGCCATGAAGTGCCAGTGGGGGGTGGGTGGCTTCCTCTGCTGCCCTGTCTGCATCAATTCATGGTCTATGGTCCAGCTCCTCAGTGACAATTGGGAGGAGAGTGGCAATTTCACCGTCCATAGGTGTCCTTTTCCCACCAATGAATCACAGAAAGTAGCACAATAGTCACAGGTTTCCCATGCTGACCATGCAGAACTCCCAGAGTTTCTGGTTGGCCTCAGGCTGGGATATCAGTTGGCAGTAGCCCGAGATTGCATCCACTGGAGCCCAGCAGGCAGCCTGGAAGGAGGGAGGAATGAGCAAGGATCAGCACTTCCCGTTAGATGATGGTTTTCAAGCCCAAGCCTCTGCCTGGAGCAGACTGAGAGGGTAGCCAAGGTGACATCCAATTATTTAATTAGCAAAGGGAAAAGCGACTGGAGTTCCTGCAATTCCTCCAGTCTCACCACACTAGGGGCTAGGATGCAGCCATGCCCTCTGAGTTTTACTACCTAGCAGAGGAGATGGACATTAAACAAGGGCTCCAAAGAACAAGTCTATAGCAACTTGCTGCCATAAAGAGGAAGGAAATGTACCGAGGCCTCTAGGAGTCAAGGAGGACTCCTTGGAGGAAGCAGTCTGGAGATCCACTTTCCTGGGCCCCTTAGCGGTGTCTCTAGCATGTCCCCTCCCACCTGCTCTATTACTGGCAACAGCAGCAGAGTGACTTCAAAGGCTTGGGAAGAGACTCCACAGCAAGTTCCCCATGAGATAGCAACTCCAGAGCAAGGATGGGGTCTTAGTCATCTCTGTGTCACCCCCAGCCTCGCCTGGCACAGAGCATGGCACATGGGTGGTACTTAGGAAACTCTGGTTGAATGGAACTGATTGATTATGGGTTGGGAAACACGAGGATCTTCCTGGGGGTGGGAGGCAGGAAATCTGCCAGAAATCTGTTGTCCTCAGGATTGACTTGTCTAAAATCTCCTCTTAACGTGGCGCACACTTGTAATCCTAGCACTTGGGAGGCTGAGGCAGGAGTTTGAGGCCAGCCTGGGCTACACAGGGAGATCCTGTAAATAAAAAAAAAAATTTTAAAGTTTTTGGGTTCCCAGCCTGCTAGTATTCCACTGGAGAAGGAAGAAGGGAGCCTCCCAGGCCTGCTGCAAGGCACTTTCAGGGTGGCCCAGTAACCTCAGCCCTGCAGGTATGATACCCTGCATGTATTATACTAACTCTCTCCAAGTTTCTGCAGAGAATAAATGGCACCATTTCTTCTTCAAATTGCTCTTGAACACCTACTTGTGCCAAGTACCGTTCTGGGTGTTGGAGAAATAACTACCTTCTCAGCAGCAGCCTCTCCTGCTGCCTTATCTCAAATGCAACATTCCTGGCTGGGGGTGTTGCTCTGTGGTAAAGCCTGTGCTTAGCATTCACCATGTCTTGGGTTCATCCCCAGAATCCTCCCCGCTCCCCCCCGCAAAAAAATTGCAACATTTCTTCCACCTGCTCTCCATCTCCTTTCCTGGCTTTTTTTCCCCTTCCCATGTAACACTTTTTAATTTACTATGTGTTTTTCTTATTTATTTTTCATCTCCCTCACTAGAAAGTAAGCTTCAAGAGGGAGGAGTTTTTTTGTTTTTTTTTTTAAAGCAGGGTCTTGATATGTAGTCCAAACTGGCCTTGAATTTTTTTTTTTTCTTTTTGTAGTACTGGGGCTTGAACTCAGGGCCTATACCTGGAGCCACTCCACCAGCTCTTTTTTTCTGTGATTGGGTTTTTTTGAGATAGGGTCTCTCTATTTGCCCAGGCTGGCTTCAAACCTGATCTCTGTTTCCCAAATACCTAGGATTACAGGTGTGAGCCACCAGCACCTGGCTTGGCCTTGAACTTTTGATCCTCCTGCCTCTACCTCCCAAGTGCTAGGATTACAGGTGTGAACCACCACACCTGGCAAAGGGCAGAGATTTTTGTCTGATTTGTTTACTACTGTTTCTCCAATGCCCGGAGCAGTACCTGGCACACAGTAGGTGTTCAAGAAAGATTTGATGAAAAATGGTGCTGTTTATTCTCTGCAGAAATTTAGGGGATGAGAAGAATAGTTTAATTCCTCTCCTCTTTACAGATCAGGAAACTCAAGGTCAGAAGAGTCAGTGGTTTTTGCCTTGAAAGCTTGTCTTTTCCATGGCTGTCTTCTCTTCATTAGGTTCCTGACTCAAAGCCACCTCCCAGGAGAGGCCAGCCCTGACCACCAGAGCTAAATCAGACCCATCGCTGCCCCTAGATCACTGTTACCCAATTTCGCTTTTTTCATAGTATTTCTCAGTCCCTGAAATTATTGTGTTCCCGTGGAGAGTTACCTCTTGCCATTAGAAGCCCCTGGAGAGCAGGGACTCTGTCTTGACCACAAATCATCCACAGCATCTCAGCTGTGCACAGGTGCTCATCTGGCTCAGCCCAGAGCCAACTGGGAGCCAGATTCTGACAGAAGGAAGACATGGTCAGTCATCCCTCGGGTGGGACAGGGGTCAGTCACTCACCCTTCTCCCGTGAGAGCACAGCAGCCTTGGATGTGCCATGGGTGGTCTTTAATGGCGCTAAGAGTGAGGAATTGGGAGATCTCCGCCGTGGTCATAGAGTCCTTCACATCCTGCTTGTTGGCAAAGATCAGAACTGAAGCATCTCGAAGTGCCTGTGGACAGAAAAGCCCGGCCCCAGTCAGTCAGCCAGGCCCAACCTCCTGTCCCCCTGCCCCACAAGTCCTCCTCACCTCCCTGTCCAGCTGTCTCAGCAAGAGACAGACACTGAACCCTCTCCCAACTGCAGGGGGCTTACCTCATGGGCCAGCATCTTATACAATTCCTCTCGAGTAGTCAGAAGCCGATCCCGGTCTGTGCTGTCAATCACAAGGATGAGGAACTGGCCAGCAGAGAGGAGTCATGCATAAGTGGAAGGTTTTCTCTTTGGTGAATGTGTTTCCTGCTGGCGGTGTTGTCTCTGCCCTGCCTGCATGTCAGCCCCACAGAAAAAGAACCATGCAGCCTTCAGGTCCCATCGGTCCCATTTTGACAGTCATTTCTTTTCTGTCCAAACAAGGGAAGGACATACACACCTGACTGCAAACCAGAGTCTATGCTAACTAGATCCTGGGTGTTCCTCACTCCACTTAGACCTCACCACCTAAAATGAGGTGGATCCTGACTATTCTTACCCTTTTACAGACAAAAAGAACTTGCTCACTGAGGTTAGGTATTTTGCCTTTGACCATACAACTTGTGCTGGAATTCAAACTGCTCTGTCTCACTCCAGGAATTAAACTACAGCATTCGACTCCTGCTGGAGTAAGAAAGTGAGGCCCACGGAGACAAAGATTTCTGCCATCCAAACCAATGAATAGAAAGCTACCAAAAGCAGACAAAGGCACCAGAAAGGATTAAAAAATCAAGATAGGGACTTGCTAAATTGCTCAGATTGGCCTTGAACTCAAGATCCTCCTGCTTCAGCTTCCCCAGTAGCTGGGATTACAGTTGTGCATCATCACACCCAACCTAGGTTTCAAAACTCTTAACAGACATTGCACTGTGTGAAATATTTGACACAAGTAGCAGCAATTGTTCTATTATTATTTAATTTTTACCACAAGTCAAGGAGAACATTCTTAGGAGATCACTTCACAGTTGAGACTAGCTAACATCACACATCTGCCTCAGAGATCCCCCAGAGCCCTGGCACCCTCCTCACCTCTGTGTTGGAGTAGTACGTGCTCCAGGTAGATCGAAGAGCTTCCTGCCCCCCTATGTCCCACACGAGGAAGTGGGTCTTCCGAACAACAACCTCTTCTACGTTGCTACCAATGGTGGGACACGTATGAACCACCTCATTGGTCAGGCTGGGAAGGAGAAGGTTCCAAGATCTCAGCCTTGCCCACTTCTGGCTCTGACCCCCATCCCTCTACTCCCAAGGTGGCCCTGTTCAACCCAGAACAACTTAATCCAGGTTAACCAAGCACCTGTTGGGGGTCAAGGTCCTGTAGTTGGCATGAGAAAAATGAAGTTCGGAATGAGACCAAGTAAGTGTTGCCCAGGCTTGGACTCCATTTGAGCAATCTCAAATTTTCATACACAGTTGAATCACCCGGGAGTCTTGTAAATACAGATTCTGATCTAGTAGGTCTGGGCTAGGGCCAGAGGGTTTGTGTATGTGTGTGTTGTGGGAGGGTGTTATGGGGTTTGAACTCAGGGTCTCCCTCTTGGTGCTGTACAATTGAGCCACATCTCCAGACTTTCTTTTCCCCCTCTTTCAGGGTTTTGCATTTCTTTCTTTTTTATTTTATTTTCTTTTTTTGTTGTGGTAGTAGATTTTGAACTCAGGACCTCTTGCTTACTGGGTAGGCTCTCTACCACTTGAGCCACTCTGCCTGCCCAAGGTTTTGCATTTCTATCAAGCTCCCAGATGATGTCCTTGTTTCTGGTTATGTGGACCAGACTTAGTGAGGGCCATCAGAGAGATGACCGGTTTCAAGTGACAGAAACCACAGTTTTTATATGTGAAAGGTAACCAAGAAATTATGGTTGAGGTGAGGAAGAAAATCATTTCGTACTCTGTACGTTTGAATTTTTCTAATTTTAAAAACTATTTTCATATTTATTTTTTCAGGGATAAACTTGTTCTAAGCCAACAAAGTTCTTTGGACACTGCAAATCGGAAGAGATGCCACGGTGGGGCGGGGGCGGTGTCCAGTGACTTTTTGCAGAGCTGGGAGCACAGCCGAAGGCGCGGGTTTGAAGTTGGAGGCGAAAGGAGCACGGGTGAGAAAGCAGGGATCTGCCGCCAGGTGGAGCTTAGAAGCCAGGGAGGCAGGAAAGGAGGCCGGTTTCTATGCCCCAGCAGGACTCTAAGAGGGTTTTAGCAGGGGTCTGGGGCGGATGGAGGGAGGCAATGGGAACTAGAGTCACACGCAAGATTAGGACGCCAGGCCGACGGCCACTATACCAGGAAGGTCTCACAGCGGTCCCTCATCATTCCGGGGCTACAGGGGAACCGAGAACCCAGAGAAGAGCTCCGGAGATTGGTCCAAATTCCTGTTAGTATGGCTAGAGGCCAGCTCTGCTTTTCCTTCCAGAGTCACTTACAACTGGTAGAGAATGGTGGTCTTTCCTGCATTGTCCAGTCCCACGATGATGACTTTGTGCTCTAGAGGCATCCGGAAGAAGAATAGGGTCAGATCCGATAGCCAATGCCCCACAACAGCTCTCCCAGGAAGGAGGTAAGTATTCCGGGTAGGCTAGGGGACCTCTGCCCACCGTACCACTTCTACTTCTCACCTAGCCGGGACACCAGCGCCACTCCTGGACAGTGGAAAAGAGATGCCCCACCTCCCTCCACATTTCTGGAAAAGTGGTTAAAATGTTTGGGGCGCTCTGGGCTGGCCAAGGGGCTTGGGGAAGGAGACGAGCAGTAAGTCACAATGCAGGAAGCAAATAGCGACTCCCCCGCCACCCGCCAGGTCTCAGCCGCCCGCGCCGTTTAGCCGAGAGGAAGGAGGTTCGCCCAGCCAAGCCCAGGCACGCACTGAGCGCGGGCACCCGAGGAGTGGGCTGGGAGAAGAGTTGAGGAGACCGTGGAGCAGGCGAGGAGAGCCCATGCATGACTCTAGGAGTCTAAGGTTCCCCAGCACGTCTGCCCCGACGACCCCAAATTCTGGAGACAACAGAGTCAAAGCGTTCGCTTCGGTGCCCTGTGCGCCCCTTACCCTGCTTCCCAAAGATGTCCATCAGTTTGGCGATCAGCTGTCCCATGGCGCGTCCGGAGCTGAGTAGCTGCAGGACTCCCCCGCTCGTCAGCCTGACTCTCACCCAAGTGCTCGGAGCCCCACCCCCGGAGGAGGGCCGGTCAGCTTAGCCTATGAGACTGGGGAAACCCCACGCGTCAAGGACCGGACCAGGGAATTCCCAGAGATGATGGCTCCTTGCGAACGCTAGGGACGTCATCGTGACGACGAGCTATGGGACCAGGACCCTGGAGGTGCAAGGAAAATGTGATCCCTGACTCCACATCCTCCCCTTGAGCTGAGAAAACTCTTAAAGAGTTCTCTGAGTATTCTGCTCTCCCGCTGCAAATCAAAGAAGACAGCACCGTGCACCAAAGCAGATGCCAGCTCTCCCTCCTAGGAGAGCCACTGCTAGGGGCAAACCCTCAACTGAAGCGAAAGCCAGGCGACCCCAGGAACCTACCAGCTGTAGAATAGACAGGGCCCTCTGATGTTCTCTGAGCTGGGAGAACATTCCAGCCTTCTGCAGTTCTCTAGTTGTTTCATAGGTGGGGTTCTTGTGAGTTCTCTTAGAAAGGGCAGGGTCTCCTCTCCACTTGCAGGTCCTCCCCAGGCATCTCTAAAGAGATATCAAGGTCCCTTCTACAAACTCTGACAGACCAATTGTTCAGGTAGTTGGTCCCAAGGGTAAGTGCAATCTCTCTCTCTCTGTCTCTCTGTCTCTCTCTCTCTCTCTCTCTCTCTCTCTCTGTCTCTCTCTCTCTCCCCCCTCAAGTGTGAACTAGGGCTTCGGGCTTGTACTCTACCACTTGAGCCACACTCCCTGCCCTAAGGGTGAATTTGTGAAGACAAGGATGGAGCAAGAATAGAGATCTCCCAGCCAAAGACTCTACAAAGGGGTCCCAGATACTAAAACCCTATTGGGGAGTTTGATGTGGTGGTACAGATCTGTAATCCCAGCACTAGTGAAACTGAGACAGGAGGATCCTAAATTTGATGCCAGCCCAGGCTGCATAGCAAGATCCTGTACAAAACAAACAAACAACAACAACAACAAAACACCAGCAGAGGAAGAACATTCTTTTTGTTTGTTGGTCTTTTGTTTTTGTGTTGGGGAAGGGGGTCTCTCTACGTAGCCCAGGCTGGCCTCAGACTCCAGGATTCCAGCAATCCTCAGGCAGACAGAGCAGAGGAGAACACAACCTGTTGCATTTTACCCCCAACCTGAAGCATCCTGAGGTAGAGGAATTAGAGGTAGGTTTCGGGGTCACAGGTACCACAAAACTTCAAATCCAAATATATGAGTTCTAGCACTGTGCTCTATGGCTGTATAATTGCAGGCCTTCAGAAATAGTGGTGGCTCACTCCTCGAACCTAGCTACTTGGGAGGCTGAGATCTGAAAGGTCACAAGATCAATCTGGGCAAATAGTTTGTAAGACTCCATCTCCAAAATAACCAGAGCAAAATGGACTGGAGGTGTGGCTCAAGCAATAGAGTGCTTGCTTTGTGAACGAGAACCCAAAGAGAACCAGAAGATCCAGAGGAGAGAGAAAAGGGAAAAGATTCTTGTTTGTGAATTTCCTTCTTTGCACAAACTCAGAAAACCCCAGAAAACAAAAAGAGAAGTGGGAAAGGCAAGTCACCCTCAGGCTGAGAAAAATGGAGCCCCAGCCTCCCTCTCTTCACCCTAAGAAAACTCTGGAGTTCTCTGGGTGTTCTGCTCCCTGCCCCCATTGCAAATCAAGGGAGACTCCAAGAAAGAGACTCTGGTCTTTACATCCCACCATACTGCCACTGTCTTCATACAGCCCCATGACACCTCCCTCTTGCCTTGCACTAAGGTAGAATCCTGGAACTGGCCTTTCTGCCTCCGCCTCCACCTTGCCCAGGGCATCCTCTGCCTGGCCCTATGAGAGTTCCTAAATCACAGCTCAGAGTCTGTTACTCCCCAACTCATAAGCTTTCAATGACTCTCCATTGCCCACTGGATCACAGAAGAATCCTAACCTGACATACAACAGCCTCCATGAACAGTCCCACCTGCCCTTGCAGGTTTATCTCCCCGCAAAGTCCTGGTCTACTGGTCCTTGCCCACACTGTCTCAGCTCTTCCCAGATGTGCCTTTTCTTCTCCATTTCCTCCACTCAGATGCCTTTCACCTTCTCAGAAAGGACAGTGCCTGGCCGTCTGCTGCCTTGCCATAAAAGCCACCTACTCCCCAAGTCCTGGATTGGTTCTCCAGTCACGTAGGGCCTCTCTCTACACAGGGACTGTAGACTGGCCAGGCTGCTTCCCTCAATTACCTGTGAGTCCTAGTGGGGTTCATATTGTGTTCACCAGTGCATGCCCCTCCCCACCTGTCTGGCATTCAGTTAGCAATGTATTGGGTTGGCTTAGAAAGGGTTAAGCTACACCCTGAGAAATGATACTTGTGGTATTAAAAAAGGAATGTGGATACAAGTTTAAGAGGATTGAGAAAAGCTAGGAAGAGCAGAGAGAATCAGCTCAATAAATACAGAATTTCCTAACACTTAGCTTGGTGCCAGAGTTGGAAAGATGCAGAATTGACCATGTGGGCTGATTCCATTTCAGCCCTAGGAGGGAGTTGGGGCTGGGGCTTGTAGGGACTAAGGAGTGCTGAGGGAAACAGCAGCATTTTGAATACTACTACCATCTGTTTCCTGGGGGGAGAAAGGAACCTTATAGTGCATCCTGCTCCCCTCCCCTCACTGCAGAATTGTAAGTAACATTCTGCAAGCTGGGAGCATGATCAATAGACAAAAAGACCTGCCTCTAAGCCAGATGTACCCATCTATAATCCCAGTCTTTAGGAGGCTAGGACGGAGAATCAAAAGTTCAAGGCCAGCCTGGACTATAATGAGATCCTCTCTCAAAAACAAAACAAGCCAGACACCAGTGACTCACGCCTGCAATCCTAGCTACTCAGAAGACAGAGATCAAGAGGCTTGTGGTTCGAAGCCAGCCCGGGCAAATAGTTCTCAAGACTCTATCTCGCAAAAACCCTTCACAAAAATAGGGCTGGTGGAGTGACTCAAATTGTAGGCCCTGAGTTTAAACCCGAGTACTGTAAAAAGGAGTCCAGAACCTGGCTCTTCAGGGGAAATCATTCATTTATCCATTCATTTGGCAAATATAAGTCAGAAAACACACCTGGCTCAGGTGTTTTGGTCTAGAAAGGGAGACAAATACACACAAAGACAGCACGTGGGAAGACCTGATTTAGGAGGCAAGGCACACTTCTCCAAGGAGGCGATCATTGGAGCTTAAGCAAGACTTCTTTCTAGCACATTGGATTAGGACACCCCTTGGACCAGGTGATCTCTACTCAACTTACTTTATTTGAGGACACTGAAAATCTTAAGTCATACCTAGGACCTGTGGCCTGCCCCACTTCAGCTCACTCTGGGGAAGAATCACCATGAAGAGGGAGCTGCTCATCAGAGAAGCAGGTGAAGGAGGGTCGGAACGTCCCCTGTGCCTTGGTTCCTGAGTCCTAGAGGTGATCATGGTAGCAGGGCCGGTTGACATCATGACTGTTGAAATCCTCACGTTGACAACCACCAGCTTGCTGACTGAGCAGCCAGAGTAGATTGAGAGCTGTGGTTACCAAGAAACAAGAATCTCTAGTAGCTCTACACCAGCTAGAAAAGCTCTCGCCTACAAATTCTGGGCAAATGTAGTTGCAGGCAGAGGCACACGGGGAGGAGGCAGAAACATGGACACCTGCTTCCTCCTCCCCAACCCTCTATCCCCAAACTTGTGCATCATGAGGTAGAGGAATTAGCAGTGAGCTTTGGGGAGAGAGGTCACAGGTACCACAAAACTTCAAATCCAAATATCTGAGTTTGAATGCTATGCTTTATGGCTGGGTAATTACAGGCCTTCAAAATAACAAGAACTCTGCAGAGTTCTAGATAAGGCACACAGCCATTTTCCCTTTTCCTCTTGAATGTCTCACCTTGCCCAAAGCTAGACTCATTACTTCTGCCTCTAATCTGATTTTTTTTTTCACTTCCTTCTTTCACATATGGGAAGATCACCAGCATTCACCCCAGATGCCTCCCTTTCTTTCACTGACCACCTCCACTCGCTTTCCAAGAGTTCTGGATTCTGATGCCTCTGGAAGTCATTGCCTTCCTTCCCATTCAACTGCCTTGGCCTAAGGCCAGCCCTCCTTTCCCGCCTGGAGTATTGCAGCTGCTCCAGAAGTGGTCTCCAATCTATACTCCAAACTGCAAACCAAACGGTTTTGCTATTGCTTCAATTTCTCCATACTGACTTTAGAATAAAACCCAAACTCCTCAGCATGATTTAGCATGACTCACTTCCTCAGAAAGCCTTCCCTGACCTCCCCAAGTTGACAGCAGCCCCCTTTCAGTTGTCATGGTACCCAGTGCTCCTCAAAGCAGAGAGCCGAGTGTACGGTTTGGGGCTCCCACTTTGACTTGACCTAACATTTTTGCCTAGTAAATGTTCAAAGAGTGAACACAGGTGAGAATGATTGGTTTCACAGAAAGGCCGTGGGAAGAGCACTATGGTGAGAAGCAGAGACAGAATTCTCGGAGTCTTTGCCATCAACTCGTGGGGGAGCTCAGGTCAGTCACCTCACCACTGTGCCTGCCCAGTTCTCCGTCCTGTGACCTGCTGACTGCTCATCTGGAGGCCCTGAATGATCTGCCTCATTCTACACACATACACAAACACCCACTTTGCACTGGAGCATTCAGGCGGAGAAACCAGGAGCTCCAGTCCTCCAGGCCCCCATCTCAGAAACAAGAACTAGGAGGATAAGAAAGCTTGCAGGTGCTAAGTGAAGCAGGATATAGATAACAGCAAAAACAGCTGTCAGAGTCCACATCCTGCCAGGTGGCAATGACAGAGGGACCAGCCACCTACTGACTTTCTTCTCTCATCGCTCAGGTGGAACTGGTTGAGTCCCCTTTTCAATCCCCTCCACCCCACCCAAGTAGATCACCACCCCAGCCCAAGCTGATTCACAGGCTAGGCATCAGTGGAGCAGGGAGATCAGTTCCTCCCTCCATGAGATGCTGGGGCCCAGGGAGGCCAGGGCAGAAAAACAAGCACATGCCTTTAAGAAGTGCATCAGTAAATCCCACCCACTGAATGACACCCAGTTCCAATTTTCTCTGGCTTTGCTGTGGGGAGGTCTGGGCTTGAGCTAAATGGGGAGCTGAGACTAGCCACACAGCTCCTGTCATGCCTGTAGGTAATACATCAGATCCCGCAAAACAAAGCACTCTCTCTCTCCTTTTGAGTCAACACCCTGGCAATAGCTTCTTCCTGCACCTCCCCTTTGCTCCTCCCCCACCCCAGTCCCACAGGTTGGCAGCTCCCACGTGTGTTCAAGGCTGCTAGGCTGACAACCGGGTGATGGGAACAAAGAAGCAGGCTCAGGAGGTGGCTGCAAAGGACAGGATGGCGGTTTTATGTGGCAAAATATTTCTCCTAGAGGAGTACAGACAAGTAGACACATAGATGGGGCACAGGACACCAGACAGGGAGGGGAAAGGTTGGGCAGTGGTGTCTTCTACCTAGTAAATGGAAGCTGCACCCTGCCCCCAGGTGGGGGGTGGGACAACATTGGCACAGGAGGTGGTGAGACAGGCATGAGGTGCCCATCCCTGAGGTGGGCAGCCGGTCAGGGCCCAGTCCTCGTTGGCACAATCGGCTCTCTCTGGCCCAGCTGGGATGCTGGGGAGGGGCAGGGCTGCTGGGCTATATGGATGCTGAGACGGAGGGTTACCCCAGGGGAGGGGGCTACCAAGGCCTCTCCTGGGGGAAGTGGACACTGGTAAAAGACAGGATCACAAGAGGCAAATACAGAGAAGCAGCAGCAGCCAAGCCCCCCAGGGGAGACCTGGGGTCTCCAGGCAGCCCCTGGGGTAGTGGTCACTTCTTGGACACCAACCCACAGGGCCTCTCCCCTGGGGCCTCAGGGTGAAAATGAAAGAGCAGTTTTTTTGGTTTAGAATGAGGCGGACCAGAGTGTTCATGGTCTCCACACCCAGGTGGAATGGAGATGGGGGACTCAGATGCAGAGGGTCCCCCTCTTCTGATGGCAGCAGGCAGGGGACGTTGTAGGCAAAGCTCATTCCTGGGGTAGGTGAGGACTGAGGCATGGAGGTGAGGGGTGGATAGCAGCATCTCGGGTTGCCCACTCCTCAGTGTTCTAGGCCCTGGCCATGGAGGGCAGAGGGTCCACAGCCTGTACCTGTTTCCACCCAGATCCTTCCCCAAGACGTGCTCCCCATAGGTTCCCATGCTGTCGCTTTTACCCACCAGAGAATGCTGCCAGGAAGCTGGGGCAAGGGGTGGGCATGGTGAGGGATCCTAGATCTGGGGTGTGGGAAAGAGAGCCCCCATGGGGAAGATTCTCTGCCTCCCCTCCAGCAAAAGCACCCAACCCTTTCCAAATACCCCACCCAGGTTGGGAAAAGAAGGGTCCCCCATTTAGGACCTTCTCTTAGAGCCCCGAGTAGAAAGTTAAGGAAGTGCACCTTTTCTCTGGGAGAGGGGAGGACCCCCTAAGATGGGGGAAAGGGGACACTTCAGAAAGGTGGGTATCCCTACCCATCCACAGCAGGTAGGGAAAAACCTACAACCAGGGCTTAAGGGCCTCCCAGGAAGCTAGGATGATAGCCACCAAAGAAACCCCAAACCTTGAGCAAAGGCATCCGAAAGGAGAGAGACAGCGCCCCCTGGAGGCAAGACACATCTCATGTGGTGCGCCCCGCTTCCCTTCCCTTCCCCTCCCCCCGGCTCAGAGCCCTTCCTCCCACCGTGCGGCCCCTGCCTCTCAGCGGATGTAGACGCCTTGCCCCCAGCCCTCCAACTCATTCTTGTTGCGCCCCAACACCGGACCCCCACCCTCCGCGCAATAGCGGGCTTTATTCCGGCCCTGGTTTCGGTTGTCGGTCTGCTCCTCTTCGTAGTCTTCTTCCTCATCCTCCCAGGAGCCCTGCCGGGCTGGTGGGGTGCCGCCCCCTGCAGGGTCTCCAGGCCCTGGCCCCTCTGAGGGGTCAGTCTCCATGTCCACACACGAGTCTCCAGGTTCCGTGTAAGCAGAGTTTCGGCTGCCGGGGGTGTCGGCATCAAACGTGTCTTGGCGGGACAGTGCCCGCAGGGTGCCTGCCCGGCCTGGTGGGTGACTGCTGGGGTAAAGGCCCGGGGGTTGGCCCAGCTCCCCCGGGTACTCGTGCACATTGGAGTGCTCCCCGGTGGCCCGTTCCAGCGGCTGGTCCCCAGAAGCAAGGTAGGGTCCCTGGTTAGCAGACAGACGGCACACACCATGCAGATCAGGCAGGGGTGAGAAAAACACAACAAAGCAAGGCAGGTTAGTGACAGGTGCCAAAACACCCAGCCTGGCTGAAGGAGCAGGGCACTGGCTCTAGGGAAGGGGCACCCGGTACCTGGGTAAAATGGCTCTAGAGCCCAGCCATAGGGGCATTCGCGTCTGTTAGAACTGGGGGACGGCGCCCAAATTCATCGGAAGCCAGGACACAGGAACTCTCATAGTAACCATGGGAGCCCCTGAACAATTAGTCACCACTTCCTCAATGCATGTTATTAATGCTGTTTTGGGGTTAATCATCATTAACAGCTCATTAGTACTGCCACTCATTAGTGGTTGATTGGGTTAGTCAAAGCCTCCAGTATCCCAAATACATTACTGGGAATTAAAGCTCAAACTCACTGACACTAGCTTCTTCAGCCCACACCATACTTCAATCACAGGCTTCCAGAAACCCACTGCTCCTCCCATTCCTTATGCAGATGAACCTCCAAAACTGATGGGACCCCTCGGGTGCTCTCCCCCTCAACAAGGACTCAAACCAACCAGCTGGAGAAGGCTAAAAGAGCTTTCTCCCCGACTGGAAACCCCAAGGTGGCCCAATATCCTTATCACCAAATGCCCAGTGAAGGCGAGCTGACAGCCACTGACACCATAGGTTGCCAGGTAGGGCACAAAGAGGCCCAGGTTCTAGTCCTACCCCTGCCACCTCAAGCTGTATGGCCCAGAGCAAATGATTTCTCTGTGTAGCCCAGTTTTCTGGTTGTAGTGTGATGGGGATTAGACTACAGCAGCAGTTTCCAAGAGCTCTGGGGTTTTTGTTTGTTTTACCTTTGGTGGAACTGGGGTTTGAACTTGAACCACTCCCCCAGCCTCATATACTGAGCTTCCACCTAAGATTCAGTGAACAAGTGCGGGACTCTGTATAACTGGGAAAAGGATGAACGGCACAGCACCAACTTACAGGAGATGCCCCATTCTGGGTCCTTCCTGAGGGGGCTCAAGTGTTGCACTAAAGGCAACGCCTCTGAATTCAGTGGGGTTTCCCTTGATGGGTTTCCTTAGGTCTGAGAACCTCTGCTCTGTTGGGTCTAAAATGGGTGTGGAGTCTAGTGAATGAGTCTATCAGTCTTTCTCATATTTTCTTCCTAGTCCCTAGTCTTATAAGGGTCCCAATCAGACCTCACGTCCAGTAGACAGCAGATGTGCTATGGACGCGGACCCAGGGAAGCAGAACCAGCCAGTCCCAGCCCCACCAAAAACCACAGACACCTGAAGCTGCCGCTCACCACATTTTTTACAAAATAAAACTCTTCCCTTCCTTCCCCATGTTTCCTGCACTCCAGGTCGGAAGGGAAGATGGGTGAAGCACCCGCTACATGGTGTGTTCCTGCTGCTGCGCAACTGCGCCGCCGCCCCGCTGCGAGGCCTCCAGCCCGCCCCAGAAGCTGAGATTTCTCCTGAGCGAGGTCAGCACCTGTACCTGGAGGTTGGAGACCGGGGCAGGGCTGGCAGCTAGGGCTGCGGTAGCCATGGTGCGGTTCAGCAGCGGATTGGGTGGCGTGCTGCTGGGCGGGTGTGTGGCCTTCCAATAGGCTTCCAAGTACTCGGCCAGGTGTTCACAGGCATCCTCCAATTGGTTCTCGTCCAGGATGATGTCAAACATTTCCTGTGGAGGTGGGGTTAGGGGCAGGGCTGGGATGAGTGGGGGCGTGTCCAAGGGATTGAGGGTGTGGCCTGGGTGCAGTGGGTGGAGTCAAGGGGTTGAAGGACAAGGTTAAAAAGAGGCCTACAGATGTAGAGAAAGGGAAGGAGGTCTTGGCAGAAGTGCAAAAAGTCTGAAAGTCAAACTTAGCCCAACTCCCTCATTCTAGAGATAAAGCAGCCAAGGCTGGGAAAGGAGGCTTAGCTCCCCACTAAGCGGGGGTGCTTGAACCCATCTCTACCTATCTGTCCAGCCTTCCTTCCCCTCAAAGTTCAGTCTTCACCTACAGACCTGGCCCGGTGTTCCTGGTCACTCTGTCTCCAGTACAGGCCAAGAGAAAACCAGGAGAACCCAAAATGCCCTCCCTTTCTTCCCTTCCCCAGGTCTCAGCACTCACGGGGGGACACTGTGCCAGTTTCTCCGACGCTGCTATTTGGACATTGAGGTGTTTGGACTGAGACTTCCCTCGGGATTTGATGAGCCTCTGAAGTACCTGGTTTGAAAAGGAGAGGAAAAGCTAGAGGGACCCAGGCAATGTACCAAGTCAGAAAGGCAAGTTCTTGTTGGAGTCAGCCTGAGGAGTTAGTGTCAGGGCTGTGGAATGTTCCATGACTCTCAGCCCTGGGCACTTCTGCGAAAATGACCTCATCAGCCCTGTGTCCACCCTACACAATGCTCAGCCTCTCTCCTGGGTCTCGTGCCAGCCTCTCCTCGAAGGCTACATGAAGGGTAGTGATTCTCCAACTCCCAACCCTGTCTACAGGCTTCCTTCTTCCAGGCTCACTCCCCCAACCCATGTTAATGACAGTAGTCATCCTTGATGGGACACTTGCTAGGTGCCAGCACTGTTTTGTACTTTTTTATTGTCATGGCATCTTGCTATGTCACCCAGACTAACATAGAACAGGTCTGGGCCCCAGTGATCCTCCTGCCTCAGCCTCCTGAGTAGGTGGGACCACAGAGGCATGCCACCTCACCCAGGTGTTCTGTGCTTTTTACATGATCAACTTAGTCCAGACAACAGCTCAGTAACTAATGAGTTATTATCATCCTAATGATAATAATTATTACAAAATGCAAAACTTAAATGTAGTCATGAGGAAAACATCAGATGAATTTAAACTAAGGGGCAGTCTATAAAATAGCTGACCTACACTCTACCAAAATGTTGGTATCATGAAAATCCAAGAAAGGCTAAAGAATTGTTCCATATTAAAGAAAACCAAGCCAGGTGTCAGTGGCTTACACCTGTAGTCCTAGCTACTCAGGAGGCAGAGATCAGGAGGATCGAAGTTTGAAGCCAGCCCATGCATAATAGTTCGAGAGATCCTATCTCAAAAAATCCTTCACAAAAAAGGGCTGTTGGAGTAGCTCAAGGTGTAGGCCCTTAGTTCAAGTCCCAGTCCACAAAAAAAAGAAAACTGAGATATAACAACTACTTGCAACATGTGATCCTGGGTTGATTCCTGGATTAGGGAAAACATTACCATCAGGGGCATTATTGGGACAACTGGTGAAAGGTGAATATGGACAGCATTTGAGTTTATGGGGGTTTTTTTTTGTTGTTTTTTTTTTTTGCAGTACTGGGGTTTGAACTCAGGGCCTATACCTTGAGTCACTCCACCAGCCCTTTTTTGTGTAGGGTTTTCTTGAAATAGTGTCTCATGAACTATCTGCCTGGGCTGGCTTTGAACCTCGATCCTTCTGATCTCTGCCTCCTAAGCAGCTAGGATTATAGGCGTGAGTCACTGGCCTGGCTTTGTTTTTTTGGCAGTACTGGGGTTGAACCCAGGGCCTCATGCTTGGTAGGCAGGCACTCTATCCCTTGAGCCACTCTGCCAGCCCTGAACAACACTTTAAATAACATTTCTTAAATTTTACAACTGTGATTGTGTAGAATAATGTTCTTGTTCTTAAGAAATACATGCTGCCAGGCACCAGGGGGCTCACGCCTGTAATAGTTCATGAGACCCTGTCTCGAAAATACCCAACACAAAAAAAGGGCAGTGAAGTGGCTCAGGTGATAGAGTGCTTGCCTAGGAAGCATGAAGTCCTGTAGTTCAAATCCCAGTACCAAAAAAAAAAAAAAAAAAAGAAAGAAAGGAAATATATGGTGAAATATATAGGGATAAAAGCATAAGAGCTTTTTGTGTGCTGGGAATAGAATCCAGGACCTCACACATGCTCAGCATGCACTCTAGTAAAACAATAAAATTGGGCTGAGGATATAGTTAGTGGTATAGTTCTTGCCTAGCATTTGGGAGATTCTGGGATTGATCCTCAGCACCACAAAAAATAAAAGGTTGAGGGTATGGCTCAGTGGTAAAATGAATAATTAGTATTCATGAGGCCTCAAGTTTGATCCCCAGCATCCGCTCACAAAAATTAATTAAAAATAATTAGTTGGGCATCATGGTACACATCTATAATCCCAGCCCTCAGGAGACTGAGGCAGGAGATCAGAAAGCTTGAGATCAGCCTATGTGATTTAGTGAAACCCAGCCTGGTGCCAGTGGCTCATGCCTATAATACTAGCTACTTAGAAGGCTGAGATCGGTTCAAGGCCAGCCTGGGTTCACAAGACTCCATCTCCAAAATAACCAGAGCAAAATGGACTGGAGGTATGTGGCTTAACTGGTAGAAAAGTACAGTGCTAAAAAGTGGCAAAAAAAAAAAAGTATAGTGAAACCCTGTCTCCAAAAAAAGTCCAAAGAAAATCCCCTCAAAACAAAACAAAACAAAAATACCAAGTGTGATGGCGCATAACTGCAATCCTAGCTAGAGGACAGAGAAGTAGAGATTGGGAGGATTGAGGTTTGAGACCGGCCCAGGCAAACAGACCCCATCTCAACCAATAAAAAGCCAGGGGTGGTGGTGCATGCCTGTCATCCCAGCTGTATGGGAAGTGTAAATAGAAGGATTGAGGTCCTAGCCAGACTGTATAAATTTGAGACCCTATTCAAAAAATATCTAAAAGCATAAAGGGCTGGGGGCATGGCTCAAGTAGTAGAGTGCCTGCCTGGTAAATACACGGTCCTGAGTTCAAACCTCCCCTGCAAAATTAATGAATCTGAAAAAATTAAGACTGCACACTTTAAAATAGCTGAATTAGTAGTAGTGGCTGGGAATGTAACTCAGTGGTAGAGTGCTTGGCTAGTATGTGCATGACTCTGGATTCAATGCCCAGTACTGCTGAAAAAAAAAAGTGAATCTGAGTAAAGGGTATTCATAGAACAAGAGCTCTTTGCCTTACTCTTTTTTTTTTTTTTTTTTTTTTTACCTAGGATGGCCTCAAACCAAGATCCTCCTGATCTCAGCCTCCCAATGAGCTAGGATTCTAGATGTGAGCCACTAACACCCAGCTTTTTGCCCTGTTCTTGTAACAGTTCTGTAAATTTAAAAATGTTTTTAAATAAAACTCTTTAAAAAAAAAATAGAACAGGACTGGGAGCATAGCTCTTGCCCAAAAAGCATGAAGCCCTGGGTTCAATCCCTAATTCTGGGGAAGAAAAAAAATAAACAGGTAATAGTGCCTTCGTGGGTACCAGGCATTTTGCATGATCAATTCATTTATTTAATCTTCACAACAATCACTGAAGCATGCCTCTGTTGTAGATGAGGAAAGTAGGGCACAGAGTTGTTAGGTGACTTGCCAAAGTCTTGCAGTACTGTAAATGACAGCACTGGGTAGGAAACCCAGGCAGTCTGCTCCTGGGTCCCCACCCATAACCTCAGTGGGGAAATGGAAGCATCTGTTACTTTCTAGGTTACAAAGTGCTTTTGCATCCATTATCTCATTTGATCTTTTCAACCTCCTCACCCCTAAGAACTTGAATTCCATCATTCCTTTTATCTCTTTAGAAACTTAGGATCAGAAAATTTAAGAGACTGGTCCAATGTTCTCAGCTCTCAGGATGCTATCAGGGAATGACAACAGTTACCACTGCTGGCTGCCACAATGAATCAGATAGTATACTGGACTCTTTACATCAATCACCTCCAATCCCTTCGAAAAGGAGGCTGGGAGTAAGTACAGCTCAGTGGTAGGTGAATTAATTGAGGCTTAAAGACTAAATAATTCCCTCTACATCCCAAGCTTAATAAAGACAACAACAAGCCAACAACATGAAATAAATATACACACAAACCACAGCGAGGATTTGAACCCCACACTGCCTTTTAACTTCAAAACCTTAAGGGGTTGAATTCAATCAAAAGCACATTATATGCCTGTATGGGACATATCACAGCAAAACCCATTTGTACAATCAATATACACTAATTTAAAAAAAGCAAAAAACAAAACAAGAACAAAATCTTAAAGCTAGATATATAGCTCAGTGGTAGAGTTTTGCTTAGGATGCCTAAGGCCCTCAGTTTGATCCCCAGAACCAGGAAAAAAAAAAAATCCTAACTTCAAAACCTTCACATAAACTCCATGTTTTTCAAATCCCCACTAACATCTAGAAGGGAAAGTTCATAGAGCTGCAACATGACAAAGAAGAAAATCAGCCTCCCTACCAACATCCTTTCTATCAAAGTCCAAATGAGGACAGCACAGCAAAAATGGGCTGGCATCAGGAGACAGGAAAAATCAACCAACTGCCTAGTAGCTGGGTGACATTGAGACAAAAGGTCCAAAATTCTTTCAGTTTTCTGGTCCAGTGATGGGAGGTCAACCAGAGTGGAGACAAGGGCCTGGACGGTATAAACATAATAATAATAATAATAATAATAATAATAATAACTAATACACAATGGAGTGCATTGTACCAGATCTTATTGCTGTGCATTTGTATTAGGTTGTATTTCACAATAGCAACAAGATAGAGATTTACAGAGAAGGAAACTATGAAATCACCCCATTAAAAGGCAGTAAAGCCATGCAGCCCTACTCTAGAGCACTCATTATAAACCACTCCATCCCACCAAGGTCAGGCTGCTGGACCTACCTTGGGAGAGGTGATCTTGATGTAAACAATGATGGGGGCCAGTGAGGTCTTGGAGAGCTGGGCCGGGTGGTTGATGGTGTCAGCGTCCAGAGCAACCAACTGAAGGGTCCGGGCTAGCTCGAAGATTCGCTCAATCTCACTCTGCACCTCAGCTGGGGGCATGGAGTCACGGGGAGGGAACATAAGGCAGCATCCAGGAGGCAGTGGGTGGAGGGAAGCTTCCAGAGACCTCCTGTCCAACACCTCCCACCCTCCCTGTCTAATGCTGAAACCAAAGAAGCAGCGGGAAGTGAAGAAGGCAGGCAGCTCACCCAGGCTGGAACGTGTATTGGAGCGCTCAATGATGATGTGCTTGCTGGGGTTGTTGAGGACTGAGCGCTTGGCCAGGGAAATGTCAGCAGTCACTCGAGTGATAGAGATCCTGGGGGACAGGGCAGAGGAGGGAGTCAGGGATCAGGGTGGGCCTGACACTGTGCCCACTCCCCGGGCTCCAGGCCTGCCCCCTGTCCCTTAGTCCAAGTGTCCTAGGGTTGTCCCTCCAGACAATCTGCTCATTCCCAGCAGCAGAGAGCCACAATGGGACTGGGGAGTCAGCTTCCAGGCTCTTACCTGCCATCAAACCGATGCTTCAAGAAGTCAAATAAAGCTTTCTGCATCATGTCTGTAACCTGCAATTAGGGATTTGGAGGGGGAGGGAGAAGTCAGGAATTGAAAACTACTCTGGGGGTTGGCTTCCTGGGTATTTGGACCCTCACATTCCACCTTCTTCTGAAATTGCTGAGATGAAGGGACTTCTGGGGGGAGGGTCCTTCTAGGGCTTGGGTCTCCAGTGCAGTCTGGTTCCAAAGGTCCTTCTAGATGGTGTCTTTGGGAAGGCTCTTTAGAAATTTCCTTGCCAGATTGGGCCCTTCTGAGTGGGTCTCCCAGGGGTCAGGCCCCTTGTGGGGTTTTTTCTGAAACTCTGTGGCCCTTTGGGGAGGACACCCTGGGATTGGGCCCTTCTGGGGGATCTCTCTGGAAAATCTTTCCATGGAATCTCACTGGAGATCTGGGCCCCTCTGGGTTCATTCCCCTCTATGACTCCTACCTCATAGCCCTTGAGCGACGGTCCCACCAGGATGATGGGCCTCATGGAAGGCACCACGTCATAGGGGGGCACATGCTCTGTCTGGGGGGAAGCAGGGAAGGGAAACCCCAGAGTGGAGATGGTATTAGCCCCTCTTCCCCAGCCTTCAGACTCCCCCATGCATCCTTGCCTCCCCCAGGTCCCAGAGCCCAAATGTGGGGATCAGGGTGGGGGTAGGGAGGGATGGCCAGGAAGGACCAGGAAGGGTGGGGAAAAGAGGGCAGATATGGGAATGGGTGTTAGAAGGTCCCCCAGCTCATCCCAAGGGTCGGGAGAGGGACACAAAAAGCTGTGATACTCACCGACTTCTGCTTCTGTTTGGCTGGGTCCAGAGATTGCCAGGAAAGGGGTGGGGAGGAAAGAGGAAAGGGTACCCAGGCAGGGGCAGAGGGCAAGGAAGGAACCAGGACCAGAAAGGGAGGAAGAGCGGGCAGACGAGGAAAGATAACAGGGCATGCGTGTTAGTGACAGACAGAGCCAGAGAGGGGACGGGAGGAACCCCATGCCAAGGGGAAGCAAAAGTGGCCCTGGATCAGGGCTGGAGGCATAATTGTCAGTCCAATACACTTGGGAATAGTTGGACAAGCCCTGGCCCCCTTCTGGGTCTTGGGAAAGAGCTGGAGAAGACAGCATCTCCTAATTTGGTGCCCACTTTCTATACCCACTGCATATCAACCTGTTCATTTTAAAGGGCTCCTAGTCTGTCTTGCTCAGCAGTCAGTAGACCCCTCACATGCCCACCCATGGAGTTGGAAATGAAGAAGGAATGCCACTCCACTCTCCTCTTGGCAAGCCAGAGTGGGACATACACTGGAATATTCCATTCCATTGGTAATGAGGGCAAAGATCAGGTCTTACCACCAGACCCTGCTTCCACAGGGTAGGGCAGACTTCCAAGGGCAAGAGCCACCCCCTCCAGCAGAGGGAGCCAGAATGGGGTTGTGTGTGGAGGGGAATGTGCCTATCCCATCCCTCCCTCCAGCTTAGCAGAGAGCCCTCTCCCTGCCAAGAGCTGCCAAGACCCCCCTTTGTAGGAACCCAACCAGAATTACCTTCTTAAAGAAGGGGATGCGCTTGCCGTGGGGTGGCGGGGTGGTTACACTGCTAACGCTAGTCTTGGCAGAGCCACTCTGCTCCCCAAACTCTGCCTCCTCATCCTCTAGTTCTAAGGGGTCTAGTTCAAAGGCTAAGTTAGTCATTTCATTACCTGGACCAGATGCAGGAGAGAGGGAGGAAGGAGGTGAGGGGAAGGAGTGAGATGAATAGGGAGACACAGTACAGAACACAGGGATGGGATGGGAAAAAAAGAAAGAAGAAGAGGTGAATGGAACAGGGCTGGGAGAAATGAATGGGGGGGCAGGGGCAGGGAGGGGCAGGCAGAGAGATGGAGCTACCAAAGAAAGGGGAGAGGAGAGACACGACAGGCCTAGGGTACCTATCCTTCATGGAGGTTGTACAGCTGCATGTATTTTGGGGACTCAGAATTTGGGTGCCTCCTACTGCAGGCAGGAAGGATCAGGCAGTAGAAAGACCACCCCACCCAGGAGTGCCTCCCCACCCCCTAGGTTGGCAGTAGCTCTTACCACTGGCAGGGGGTGTGGGGCGGCGGGTGCCAGTCACCACGTCTCCCAGACTGGAACTGGAATTGTCACCTGATTTGCTGTGTGGGCAGGGAGGCAAATGGAACAAGTGAGTAAAGGGGTGGGTGTGTGGGTGGGAGACTTTAGTCCTATCACACGCTGCATCCCCAGAAGTCCTCCAGCCCCCTGGTAATGCAGAAGCAGCTAGGTGGGGCCAGGTGACAGTTCTGAGGCCTGGTCCTGGCTGGAGGCCTCTCCTGAGATAGCAGTTCCCCATCCCCAGCCACACACCTGGAGCTGAGGCGGTTCTGGCGCAGCATCTGTTCCTGCAGCAGGCGCAGGCTGTCCAGTTTGACAGGGCTGGGGATGAAACCAACCTCGCAGCCCTCCTTCACCAGCCTCCCGATCCACCAGTCATTATTGTATTTCTGCAAACAACAGCAGGTGGTGGGGAGACCAAGAGGGAGACTGGAGGTGCAAGCCACAATCACCCGTGAGGGGAACCACCAGATTGCCTACCCTGTATCCAGAGACACCTCCTCCCCCAGCTACAGTCCCTCAGCATAGCCTTCTAATTCTCAAGACAACTCCAGGACCAGCACCCTCTCTAGCCATGGTTCCCCCTCGCCTAGAGAAGAAGGAAGAGTCCTTCTTGCCTCCCTGGGGCCCAGGCTGCTAGAGACAGGCAGAAGGAATACATGGAGCTACCTACATACTCCTGGCACACTGTTACTCCAGTCATAGGCCTCATAACAAACCCTCCCAGTGTCCTGTGTGTGAGCTGGGCATTACCACTCATTTATTCTCAGGTCTCACAGTAGAGTCTGCCCAGCTGTGCTTGGCTCAGGCTTCTTTCCCGCTACAGCTCCAGCTGCCCCTCTCCTGGCACCTAGTCCCCTGCGCTCCCTCCAAGTGGCAAGGGCTTAACCCACCTCCTTGATGTGCAGGAAATCTTTGGGCTCAAAGGTAATGGCCACTCCCTGCACAGGCACCTCATCTCCTGGAGACGGATTGTAGCCAACGTTTGTCCGCACAGCAAAAGCCACTGGTTTAGTCTAAGAGGCACACCGAGGGGGATGACATCAGAGGGTGAAAGCACAGTGTACTGTATGACGGAGTGACCTGGATGTTTGCTTTGTAAATTGTTCATTAAAAATATATACTGGGGGAGGAGGAGAGGGAGGATAAGGGAGAATGATGGAAGGGGTAAATCTAATTAAGATATTGTAAGCATATATGTAAATGAAACCCTCCTGTACAATTAATGTGTGCTAAAAAAGCCTCTCCCTGCCAAATAAATAAATAAAAATATATACTGATGGGCTGATGGAGTGACTCAAGTGTCTGCCTAGCAAGTATGAGGTCCTGAGTTCAAACACCAGTACTGCCACAAAAAAAACTTTTACGATAAAAAACAAAGAGGCAGGCTTGGTATTCATAACTATAATCCCAGTTACCCCAGAGGCAGATAGGAGATCTCAGTTCCAAGCCAGCCCAGGCATAAATTAGGGAGACCTTAATCTCAAAAACAAACTAAAGCTGTGAGAGTGGCTCAAGTGGTAAGAGCACCTGCCTAGCAAGCTTGAGGCCCTGAGTTCAAACCCGAGTACCACCAAGAATACACAAATAAGCAAAAAATGGAATTTAGCCCTCTCAGGGTGGAGGGAAGCATTGGGGAATGATAAGTATTGGTGATGGAGAAGCCTGGAATGACATCCAGAAGGAATAACAATAATAATGACAGTAGTTACTGTTCAGAATGCCAGGTAATGTGGTTTCATATGAATCATCTTGTTTATTCATACAAAAATCCTATGAAGTTAGGTACTTATTAGCTCTGTTTTATTTACTTAATGTTTACTCATATGCATTTATTATATTCCTGGAAAAAGAATCCCAGGATTTTCCCTCTTGTATGTTTTCATCTTGTTTCTTCATGGTCAATGATGCCACTGAGGTAATCTGTACAATGAAATCAAACTGAGGTGTAGGAGATTATCCTGTAATTTTTTTCTTTTTCCTTTTCTTCTTTATTTGAGACAGAGTCTTGGTATGTAGTCCAGGCTGGCTTTCAACTCCTGGGTTAAATGATCCTCCTGTGTCAGCCTTCCAAGTAGCTGGGACAACTTAGTAGTATAGTAACTAAGTAGCAGCCATTTTTCTAGAGCTTTGAGCCACTGTTCATTCCATATGTTTAACCTCCCTATGAAGTTCACAATTTTCCCAGCTCTGTGATGATCAGTGACTTCAAATTCACCAATGTAACCACGTTTCATCACCACAGTTAGAAACCAGACAATGACATCAGAGCATATCCTACTAAGAACCTAGATTTAGCCAGGTGTGGTGGCACATGTCTGTAATCTTAGCTCTTTGGGAGGCAGGAGTATCAAGAGTTTGAGGACACAGCCAGGCGCTGGTGGCTCACACCTGTAATCCTAGCTACTCAGGAGGCAGAGATCAGGAGGATTGTGGTGCAAAGCCAACCAAGGCAAATAGTTTGTGAGACCCTATCTCAAAAAAACCCATCACAAAAAAAAGGGCTGGTGGAGTGGCTCAAAGTGGAGGCCCTGAGTACAAACTCCAAACTCCAGTACCACAAAAAAAAAAAAAAAAGTTTGAGGACAGTCTTGGCAATTTAGCAAGAGTCAGTGTCAAAATTTTATAAAGGAGATGGTGTGGTGGCACACCCCTGTAATCTCAGCTCTTGGGAGGTACAAGCTGGAGGACAGTGAGGTCTAGGCCATCCTGGGCTATATACAGAGACCCTGTGTCAAGAACAAAATCAAAAAAGTAAAGAGAAAAAGAAAAAAGCAAAACAAAAACAAAAAGACTCAGGGTGTAACTCAAGTGGTAGGCCCTGGGTTCGATTCCCAGTATACATACACACACGGAATCCTGGTTGGGATTCCAGCCCAGGAAGTTTGATTCCAGGAGGAACTAGACATTTTTGGCACTTATCAAGCTCCTACTATGTGTAGAAGTAGCACCAGGCACTTGTCATACCCCATGAGGAGCCAGCTATAGCACACATCTTACAAGGGGACACCAAGTCACACTGAGGTCCATGGCTATACTGCTGGAAGCCAGGGATATGTCAGGGATCTCTCTGGCCTGGCTATGGGGACAATCATGCCAGCATGACCCTCCCACATTTCTCTCACCTTAGCTTTCTCAAGCTGAGCTAAGGCCTGGCGCTCTGCCTCCTTCCTCAAGGCCTCCCGGTCCTCTTCCAGAGACACATCAGAGTCTGATGGGCGGCTGGTGTAGGACTCCGCTGAGCCCTGAAAGCAGAGAGAGCCAGCTCAGGGCCAGCACTACATCCTCCAGCCTGGAAAGCATGGAGGTGCAAGCCCCAGTCAGCCTAGCATGATGCCACAAGACTTAGGAGGAGGTACTATTAGGTGGAAGGGGCCAGGGGCCAAGGTTTGCAGGCCCATGGGAAGAGTGTGGCCTTAGGAAGGGTGACAGCAGCAAGCAGGGAGTTAAGGCAGGTCCAAGGACAGCTGCTTGGAGCCCTGGGACGGGTGGGAACCTGATAGGGGCACAGGGCAGGGGAGGAGTGCCAGGGGACAAGTCCTGCTCCCTACTCCTCCTTCCCTACCCTGCCCCCAGCATTGCTGAGAAGACTCAACAAAAGCCCAGTGACGTCCATTCCAGGGACCACAGCACAGCTGAGGCCTGAGTCTCTGCATTGTCGCCAGTGGGCAGGCCTGCTCAGCGAGATGGGGACACCAAAAATTTTGTTATCTTCTGCTCGAGGTGGGAGTAGCCAGAATCCCATCTCTACTGCCTCTCTAATTGGTACTGTCTGAATGAGGCCACACAACTCAGAGCTAACCTCAGGCTCTCCTAAGATACAAAAGAGAACCCGCAATTCTTGGAGTAATGCAGACAGAAGAGGCAGATTAAGAGCAAGACACGGTGGGGAGGCCTTTTCCCAACACTAGGCTGCTAAGTGACAAGGCAGAGGAAGCTTAGAAGCCTGGGTTGCCAGGAAGCTGGCTCTGACCACGCTGGCCAACCCAGAGCACAAGGCTACACATGTAGCCTGACTGTGCGGCCTGCATGTATGTTAGCACAGGCCAGGAACATATGTACACCTGGAAGCACAATGCAAAAGTGCTTGGGAGGGTATGTTCTGTGGTACATGCTGACTATGCATGATTTCGTCACCCAGGGACACCCAGGGGTCTGTGTCTGAGGGTGGGTTGCATGTGAGGGCAGGAGATAGGAAGTGTGGATTTGTGTGTGACTTCAGACTAGTGGCAGATGGGTAGAGGGGAGTGTGGGGAAGGAGCAGGATTGCAGGGATGTGGGGAATCATTTCTGGGGGCACAAAAGGGTCACTTGGCTGGCAATGTCCATTGCTTGGCATGGAGAGGACACAAGAGAGAAGACAAAGTCCCACCTCTTCCCAGAGGTCCCTGGTCATTAGCTGGTACAGCTGCCCATCCACTTCCCAGCCAAATCATAAAAATGAGCTGGAGATGGGTCACTAATAGAAGCTAGAAAAGAAACACAAAGCGGGGAGAGGAAAAAGCACCTTAGCCACCATTCTCCCCTCCTGATGGGAGCACTCAGAATGAATGTCTCTGGAGATAGGTACCCAGAGAGCCAAAGAAACAGACTCAAAACAAACAGAAGGAGAGGTGCTCACTGACCCACCACGCGTGCACACACACACACTCACACGCACACCCAGAAATGGCGGGAGACAGTAAACAGTAAAGAGGTAAAGAGATAGGCTAGAGCACAGACTCCCCATCAGTTTTCTTAGGGGGTGCTCTATTCACCCACCACCCACCCCATCCCCAGCTCACCACCACCAGGGTCCGGCTGGGCGCCTCCATCCCGGCACCCTCAGTGCCCAGCCCTGCTGGCCTAGGGGGTGGCCCACACTGCCCGTTCCCCCAGGGGGCTCAGGTTACAAGAAGAGTTGCTACATGTGCAAAACTGTTAGGGTATATTTAGCTCAGAGATGTGGCAAGGACTGCTCCCCCCACTCCTGCCACCTACTGGGGGTAGGAGCTATGGAGTTGAGAGGAGGAATTGGAGGCTGGGGCCTGACCCCCAATTGGCAAATATGGAAGGAAGGAAAGTCTTTTCCTGCCAAGAGAGGCAACAAAAGCACAGCATCATTCTTCCTAGCCTGGCCCTGGCCAGTTCTGCCATAGGAGGGATGAGGGATGAGGGATGGGAGGGGTAACTGAAGAAAGGACTTACTGGCTATGTACTTAAGAGACACACAGATGAAGGCCTCCTTTCCTGAAACTCCCAAGCTAGGTTTGTCCTCACATGTACCAAGTGTAGAGGCAAAAGAATAAAAAAAAAAACCCTTACTTCAAACTATGGTGGATCTGACTGTCTCTACTCTTTCCTGCCCCCCTCCAGGGGGGACTTACCCCCATGATAGTCCTACCTACCATCCTTTGCTCTCATATGCCCTGCCTGTTTCCTCTTTAATGCATTCCTTTCCTTGTCTGATCCCAATCCCCTCTTGCCTTTTTGGGGTACCAGGTTTTGTTGAGATGCTCAGTAGTCATAGCAACCACATGCCTCCTCACTGCCTCTCCCTGTGCCTAAGATGGCCCGGGGTTGAGAGGTGGGAGAGAGGCAAATAGCAGTTTCCTGGCAAGTGCAGATGGCCCAGAAAGCTCTTCTCAGCACCCCCATCAATCAAGGGTAGGGGGCTACAGTCCTCTAAAATCAAACATCTCTTGCCTCCCCCCTCACACTTTCTCTCTGCATAGTAAACAGTCAATGTTTGGATGTGAAAGAATGTCTCCCTGACCCATACCTACCTAGGAAGCTAGGGACTAAATCTCCCAGCTCCTCATTCCTAGCACCTGCCTCCGCCCGCCCCACCCTGTCACAGATTCTGGGGGAGGACATGGAAGCAGACAGCCGGCAGGGGGAGTGGGTGACAGCCCGAAGCAAGCCAGGAAGAGGCAGGCCAGGCTGTCCCTGAATGAGATGACGCAGGCAGGCAGGCAGCAGGGGCTGGTGGCTGGTGCTGGAGGTGGGGCTGGCGGGGGTTGAGGTAGTGGGTGCAGCTGACAGCACATCCAGGAGAGGTCATGGGATGTCAGGGTGTTGGGGTGGTTCCAGGCAGGTGACAAACGACATAGGGAAGGGTGCCTGGAGAACACCGAAGGCCAGCTTACCAAAGCAAGCCTCCACCAGCCAGCAGCTTTCCCCTCCCAGCCCAGCCTCTCATTACCTGGCGGACAAAGCTGTTGGATGTTGTATCCGAGGAAGTGCTCCCATCTGACCGCTTGAATCGCCCTTTCCTCTTGCTGTATTTGCCCTGGAGAGGATGGGAAGGAATAAGAGTGGAACCAAAAAGACCCCTTCCTGGTGTCATCCCACCAGAACCAGTGCTAAAGCCAAGCCTTGGGACTATCATTTCCTGATCAGCACAGCCCCACCCCCAATCCCTGCCTCTTCTTGCAGAGGTGGTACAGCCCTAGGGGAGGGAGGGTCTCCCAGTGCACAGAGAGAACCCAGACCACAGCCACTGTGGGGAACAGTGCAACAGAGCCTAGGGAACACATACAAGAACCCCCAAACCAAGCCACAGGCTGGGAACGGGAAGTCCGCCTAATGAAGCAGGAGGCTCATTAGGCAGCAAAGCTAATTAAGATGCTGGGCAGGCTGCAGAGGCCTCTGGGGAAGGGAAAGGCTGCCTGCAGGGCTGGGGGGTGGGAGGGAGAGAAGGGGAAGTCCTCTCCCACTCCCCCTCAGCTGGAACTGAGGGGGACTGAGTGCTCCAGGCCCCCAGAGAACTGGAGGATCACCAATCCAGGGCCCAGCCTTGCTTTTTCCCTAAGCCCAACTCTGCTTTCCAGAGTTGGAAGGAGAGAGCGGCTCTGAGAGCTTGTGGAGGTCCAAAACTACATTTCTGGGGAAGGGTAAGGGGCCATGGAACTTTATCTGTAAACATCCAACCCCACCTGTGGCTGTGTGCCATGGGAGCAGATTTTGCTCCCCACTGCCACCTTCACCCTGGCAGGACTTTTTCTCAGCCCTCTCCTCACAATTATAGTGACCATACCCCTCCCCAAGGGGGCAAGAGGGAGCCACTCTACCCTGTTCCCTAGCTGCCAAGGCCCACACCCCATCCCCATGATACCAACCCAGCTATGTCAATCTGAAAGCCCCTTGGCCCCGCCCCATGCCAAACCCAGGATACCATTCCACAGTCCCTGGTAGGCTGGCTGGCCTCACTGCACTACTGGCTGGGGTGGAGGGATGCTGCCTGACCTCTCAGGCAGCCACACTTTCAGATTAAGGTTTCAGGTACCTCCAGCCCTCCAGCCTCCTGACAGGGGACTGCTTCTTTACACACACACACACACACACACACACACACACACAGCCCTTGCCCAGTCCTGAATGGGCAAATGATTGAGGGCTCAGACTGCCCCCAGCCTTCATCTCAGACTTTCTTTGGCCAAAGAACCTAGTTGAACCACAGTCAGACTGCGGGTTCTGGCTAGTGGGACTTGGGTACAAGAAAGAGGATGAATAATGGAAGATGAGGACACTTGGGGACCCTTCAGAATCCTCTGTCCCCTCTTCTCTCAAACAAAACATACACCTAAAGTAGTTTTGAGGCTCCATACAAACCCAGAGGATCCTGCAGTGAGCCCCAGACTCTCACACCACCACCCCACCCCAGGCTGGGTAAAGGGAGTGGCACGCAGAGGGACAGGGGACAGCTGAAAGGAAGGCCCCAGTCAGCTGCCTCCCAGGCTCCAAGGGGCCTGGGGTGGAGGAAGGAGGTATTTTTAGGTCTGACCTGACCCCCCTACACACCCATCAACTCCATTATCATGGCGGATACAGTTGCTCCAGGCTGGCCACAGCAATGCAAGAGTTAATGCTATCCTTGGAGAAGGACATGTCCCAGAGAAATCCCCTGGCATGATCACTCCAGACCATGCTGGTCACTTCGGGAACCCACCACACTCAAGAATGCCCCTACCTGGTGGTTAACTCAGAGGCATAGGAAAGTGTGAGGGGGGCGGCAGACCCCCTCCCTAAGGTAAAACAGCTTCACAGCTTCTTCCCCTCCAGGACAGTGAGCTGGCATCCATCCAACTTTCCAAACTTTGGAGGCGTTTTTTTTTTTTTTCCGGGGCTGGGGGGAGGAGTAAGACAACGTCGGGGTGTGTGTGGAGGGGGAAGGGAACTGGTTCAAGGTAGGGATGGAACCCAGATGGCTGACAGGAGGGCCTGGCCCAGGGCTAGCTCCTTCCCTACCCTCAAAAGCCAGTGTCTGAGGCTTCGAAGGCCTTGTTGGCACCGCCCTCTGACCATCGCCTCGGCCATCGCCTAGTGACACCCCCGCCCCACCCACACCCTCCCAGCGCCCCCAAGTGTGCTCAGCGTCGCCCCCTTGCCTGGCTCGCTCTCTAGCCTCCCGCAGCCTCCTCTTCTCAAGGCCTGGATTTACACACACACACACACACACACACACACACACACACACACACACACACACACACCAGCACCCCCGCTCTCAGCCCACTGGGACCGGTACCCGAGCAGCAGGGACAGGGACGCGGGGGAGACCAGGAGGCGAGTGTGACTGGCAGCTCACTCGCCCCCTCCCGGTTCCGCAGCACCGCAGACCAAGTCGGGATCAAGCGCTCATCAATCATTAACCCACAAGAGTGGGGGGCGCGCAGACATCCCTCTCCCCTAGCGCCGGCATATAACCCTTTCCTTCCCAGGACCCCTAGGGCCCACCCCAAGGTCCCCGGGAGCGGCCCCTTTCCCTCGGGCCCCGAACCGCGCCTCACCTGTGGGCTGGGATCGAAGACCTCCATGGGGATCTCCTGGGAGGGTGGGTAAGGACCCCGGGACATGCTGCTCTTCTGGACCATGGAGAGGAGTCCCCCCTTCGGCCGCCGGCCCGGCCCAGCCGGGCACCCTCAGCGCATGGGAGAGGCCGTCGGAGACCAGAGCAGCGCAGCGCAGCGCAGCGAGCACCGGGTCCAGCTACCCAGCCGGGCCTCGGGCTGCCCCCTTGCTGTCTAGCCTCCCTCCCTGCTCGAGCTCTCTCCTATGCCGCCGCCGCCGCCGCCTCCGCCCCTGAAGGCTCAGCATCTCCCCCCGCCCCCTCCGCTCCCACCGCCCCTCCCTCGCTCCCTCCCCCCGCCGCCGGCCCCGCCCCTCGCAGCCCCTCCGCAGGCTCCGCACAGACAATGGGAGGGCGGCGGAGTGGAGCGAGTCGTAGCGATGTTGGAGGGTGTAGATCGCTGGCCTCCAACTGGCCTGGGGAGAAGGCAGCCCGCTGGGAGCGAGGGCAAAACCGCCCTTGAGGCTCCAAGGTGGGTGTGTTGGGGGGAGGGAAGGCTACCAGTGTATGCCAAGCGCTGGCGGGGGTGAAGTTCAGGTTGGCATGGCTGGCACCACCTCCCTTTCTGTCCTAAACTCTTTCAGCGGGTCTCCCCAACCCATTACTGCTTGGGCCACCGGAACTTCCCTTCCTAGTCCCTGTGATCTTAGGACCTGGCTTTAACCCCTTTTCCCCAGTGTGGGGCCCAGGCCGCCTTGAACCAACCAGCAAGTCCCTCTCTCTCCAACCTGGCTCTGGGGCTGCTAGCTAGAGGCTGTGCCAGGGATGGAGTGAGCGTCCAAAGGGAAAGCCTAACAGAGACAGCAACAAGAAATCCAAGGGACGCAGGAGTACTTCAGCCCTAGTCAGTCCCTGGAGTCCTCCAGGCTTTTCCAGATGGCCAGGGGGTGAGGCTGGGTGAGGTCCCTGTTCCTTAGAAGAGAAAGGAATGAGAGGAAGAAATAAGCTGAGAGAGAAGAGACTGGCCAAAATCATGGACTTTGACCTAGCATCATTGTTCTCCCTTTTTCCTTGATTTGGGGGAGGGGGGGAAGAAACAGATATCCAAGGCCTGGACCCCACCCACGGGACTAGTGGAGACAAGTAGGGGATTCTGGCACCTTGGTGTCAGTTTGGCTCAGGCTCTTTCTGGTTGTAGGGCCCTAAACAAATCACTACACTGAACTCCAATTTCCTTTCCTGTAAAATGGAGGTGCTGGTACTGTGGTCTTTTGGTCACCTGGGATCATTGAGAGAATGAGAGAGAATAAAAAGACTGTTGAGTTTTCTAGAGATGCTGTAAGGAGCATGGCGGGGTCATTTTCGTGAGGGCCTATCTGTGCTCTTCTTCTCTGTTCCACAGAGAAAAGAAATGAGAAATAGAATGGAGACTTACCCAGATCAAGTGTCTAAAATAAGGCCAACTTGCTGTGTTTGCTGGAGTGGATACAGTAGAATCGGATTTTGTTATCAGAATTGCCCTGGAGCTGGACAAAGGTGGCTCAAGCCTATAAATCCTAGTTACTTGGGATGTTGAAATTGGAAGGATCGTGGTTTGAGGTCAGACCAGACAAATAGTTCATAAGAACTCCGTCTCCAAAATAACCAGAGCAAAATGGACTGGAGGTGTGGCTTAGGAGTTGGAGCTTCTGCATTGCAACTGCAAAATCACGAGTTCAAACCCCAGTCCTACCAAAATAATAATAGTAGCTCACACATACACAAAGAATCACCTTGGATTCTGATAACAAGTGATTGGCTAGTTATTTCTCTGACCACATCACCTTGGGAAGGAAGGACTAGCATTCTTCCATGAACAGATCCAGTCATGGGCAGGGTTCCCATCTACCTACTGGAGACAAGAGCCTGGCATGACAGAGACGTGCCAGTGCTGGCTTTGCAATCAGAAAGACCTGGGTTCTCAGACTGTTTCTTTAGCTGTAAAACAAGGGTAAAAAACTGTATTATTGTGAGACAGTGGCATAAATGTTGCTTTTCTTTCTGAACTTCTCAACTATATTTAACTGCTAGGAAAGCTCAGATGAAAGAGACAGAGAGGAGGCCAGATATGGTTGTGCTACACTCCTGTAATCCAAGCACTGGGAGGGAGATGGAAGGAAGAAGAGTTCAAGGCCAGTCTGGGCTACATGGTGAGACCGTCTCAAAAACAAGCAAACAAGTGCTAAGAGCGCAGGCCTAGCAAGGGTGAGGCCCTGAAAGATACTGATCAGCTTGAACCATGCCAGAATTGAACCCAGAACGCTCAGATCTGTTTTTTTTTTTGTTTGTAGTTTTTTCTGCCCTGGGGTTAAACTCAGGGCCTTTTGCTTAGCTAGGCAGGTGCTCTACCACCTGAGCCAAATCTCCAACTAAAATACTTCCCTTGGCTTTTTGCTTAGGATGTCCAAAGCCATTGGACTTCCCCACCCACATACACTTTTGGCATTCATTCATTTACTCAGCTAATGCAGCATTTCTTCAGGTGTACTACTTGCCAGGCTCTGTGCATGCTGCATTACAGGGTGAGCCAAACAAGATTGGTTGCCTCCCTTTAAGGAGCTTGCTTTTTTTTTTTTTTTTGCTATCTTAAATGTCTTCCTTTGCTAAATTGAACTCATGTGATTTTTCACAACTGGATGACAGAAATATTAGGATTAGGTCTACTTTACAGAGGAGGAAATTAGGCACCCGAAATTAAGGGCCCTCAGTGGCACAAAAACATGAAAGTTCTGGGATTTAGCCCGTGCTCCAGGGGTTCCCATTCAACAGTGAATAAGAGGTTGCTTTTGTTAGGAATATCTGTCTTCATTATTCTCTTGTTTCATATACTGCTTCTCCCACCTCCAACCCCTCCCCCCCCATAAAATACTCTTCCCCATAAAATATTCTTTCTCATAATCATGGACGCCTGTAAAGAGTAGGCCTCCACAGCCAAATCTCTCACTCCGCCTGCGCGACCCAACACGCGACTTCCGGCCACTCAGACCCACGTGATCAAATACCCATACTGCGCATGTCTACTGTAAAGTGGGACTATACCACTTTGCCTTACAGAGGGGGTATATTTTCTATGTTTTTTTAAATTTAAAACAGTTTCTGATATTAAGCTTATATTACCCCAGGTTTTTATGAAGAATATAAGTGCGTCTGAGGTGGCAGAAGATTAAACATCAGAAGGGAATACATACAAAAGTGAAGTGGGATTTGGGCTCTCCCCTTCACAGATAATGGGAGAAGCCTGGCCAGAGCAAGTTCTTTCCTTTTGCTGCTGCGGCCGCAGCCATGAGGTAAGGGCGCGCGGGTCTCCTAAGTGGGGTGATCCGGCCTGGCGGGGACAGGAGGGGTTCGGTGCCGTAACCTCGGGTGGGGAAGAGGAGATGCAGGCAGCCTTGAAGCGGCCGGCTCCGGAGCTTGTGGTAGACGGAGCACTTTAGGCCCCGGCCTCTAAAGGATGGGGGTGGGGAGTATCGCGGGAACCGGGGACCCGGAAAGAGCTGCCCCGGCAGGCGGCGCGTCCCGCGGATGTTCGGGGCGACCCACGCGGGTAGAGCAGGGGTAGCGGCGGGAGCTAGGCTGTGGCTCCCGTGCTCGCTAAGCACACCCGGAGCCAGGCAGATCTCTGCTTCCATGTGACGTGGGACAAGCCTCGGGCAAGCCTCCGGCGGCCGAGGCCTTGCGGAGCTCTCTGGCACTGCTTCCACCCTGGTTAATTGTAACATCTCTAAAGTTAGTTATATAGTTCATTACTATAACAAAACGAAGACATGAGTCCAGAAAGTAAAGGAATATGTCTACTCTAAATACAGCTGAATACCAGAAAAGGCATAAGCTCTCTCCTTCCAATTTTGTTTTTAATGTCCGAGAACAAAACAGGCACAAAGAGGTTTAGGCATATCTTGGTTTTAAGTCTCCTACTGTGGCATCATTCATGGCTTTATCAGTGATCTCGGTTTGGGGATGATTATTATAGGATGTGTGGATGGCAAAAGTCTTGGGGATGGGGGGGTGTTTACCCATATATATGACTTTTATCCACTTGTTTTGTGTGTGTGGTACTGGGTTTCGAACTCAGGGTTTCACCCTTGCTAGGCAGCTTTATCACTTGAGCTACTCCACCAGCCCTTTATCCACTTTTTATACCTTATGTGAGGTGCACAATATTGAAAGACTAGATTAGAGCCAGGTCCTGGGCTAGAGGAGTGGCTCAAGTGGTAGAGTGCATGCGCAGCAAACGTGAGGCCCTGAGTTCAAGCCCCAGATACTGAAGAAAAGAAAAGACAGTAGAGGGCAGGTCCTGTTTGGAGTGCAAATTCTTATCCAGAAGTGCTGTCCAGTGTCTGATAGTGCTGTCTGTGTCCCCCAGTATGCTCAGGCTTCAGAAGAGGCTTGCCTCCAGTGTCCTCCGCTGTGGCAAAAAGAAGGTCTGGTTGGATCCCAATGAGACCAATGAAATCGCCAATGCCAACTCTCGTGAGTACTTAGAATCTCAGGTCCTTCTCCAGCCTATCCCTTACCTTGTTTGCATCACAGAGATGTACAAACAAGACAATTGTGTTGACCCTTTTCAAACCTAAGAAAGTTCACAATCCAAGAGACCTATAAAATAGAGATGTTAAAAATACAAAGAGAGGAGAATCCCTTTCCTGACATTTGCCTGGAGGTTACTTTTGAAGCAGATAGATTAGAGGAGATGTGGAGGTTTGTGAAAAGAAACCCTGATCTAAGACTGGGATTGAGGACTAGCGAGACTAGAGTGCAGATGAAGTGATGCAGTAGAAAGATCTGAAGCCTCAGATTTTTCAGTAGAGGCCTATTGGCATATGGTTATTCAGGCAATTAAAGAACTTAAAAAGTAGAAATGTGGGGTCTTCTTTTTTTTTTTTTTTTTTTTTTTTAAACAAATAATAACCTTTAAGTGTTTCCAGTTTTTGAGCTCTTTGGGCCCAGGATATGAACAGTATCTGGCCTGTCCTAGGTTGCAGCTGGGACCCACTCAGTCCCTAGGCGCATTGTGCTCTTCCAGGTCAGCAGATCCGGAAGCTGATCAAAGATGGACTGATCATCCGCAAGCCTGTGACAGTGCATTCTCGGGCTCGATGCAGGAAAAACACCTTGGCTCGCCGAAAGGGCAGGCATATGGGCATAGGTAAGCATGATTTCCCCTTTTTCTCTATAATTTAAATACTAGGTGCAGGGATTGGGGCTTAGCTCTCTGGTGGAAACTTTCCAACCTTGTGGGAGGCCC